TATATATATATATATATATATATATTGTCTAAGATACAGAGACTATTTTAATTTCATTTTTAGAGCAGCTATTTTTATAATTTTTTTTTTTTGCGATAAATGTTTTTAAAGTCTAAGTACAGCTTAATTAAGCACCAAAGAGAAAGATTCTCTCTCATACCTTCAATAGACAACCATAATTGACCCTTTGAAATATTGTGAATTAAAATCATTTTGCAAATTTCTATACAAAATTTTATTGTTATTATCTATTGGATAGCTAAGTTATTATTACATAAAGCAATTAATCAACTTTGTATCTCAGTATCTACTAGATTTTTAAAATAATTATTCTTTATAAAAAAAGGAAATCGACCGACTCTTTTTTTCAAATGTATGAAACTTCAAAGGGTTGAAATAAAGAGAAGCACATTTGGCAGTACAAATTTAATACTCGATAGAATTCTGCATTACACGCTAGGACGTTTGTGAGCTACTTTATAATCAAGGTCAAAAGACAAGTCTAACGAGTGTTCGATAAATAAATAGAATCATATATAAATATTGAATGAAACAAAAAAAGAGGAAAAACAAAAGAATAAATTGCAAGAAGGAGAAAACAAAAAATTACATTATATTACTTTTTTGGAAGTGATCTTTGTACTTGATGAGCGAACAAGGCAACTATCATGTGCCTGCGTGTGTATGTTTGATGTATGTATGTATGTATGTATGTACGTATGTATGTATGTATGTATGTATGCATGCATGCATGTATGTATGTATGATGTATGTATGTATGTGTAACCTACCCATGTGTATTATATCGTAAATAATTGGATATCTTTAATTTTTATATTACATTTAGCGTTAAGACGCGTTTCTCTTTTGTACATTCGTGAAATTTGTAAAGACAAAGTTTCAGCTATTGCGATTTATTATTATTATTATTAAACGAACATTCGATTAAGCTAGCTTACTTGCAACAAGACAATGTACTGCCAAAAAGGAACCCTTAAAATGCATAAATATACTGGAGGTTTATAAACTTTTATATCGATAATGTTTATCGTTATCCCAAAAAATGATTTTCAGTACTCTTTTAATTTCTTTTCTTTTTTACCTCCTTTATATAAAGTATTACTTTAAGTTTGAGCACATTGTATTGTAATACAAATTATTATTTAATTTTCAAGAACTATATATTTTTATGATGGATTTAAGTGGAAAGTAAGCAGATAATTTTAAAGATTCATAGAAACTATTGTAAATTTATATGGATTATATTTTAGTACATTTCGTTTATATTACATTAATTTTCAAATTTATGTTTTATCCGTAGATATGAATTTTGATTTCGTTAATGTTTTTGAAAATAGCACTATATAACGTAAAAGAATTTCACATAGTATTTATTATTTCTGGTTTCATCGATAGATCTGGACAATTACGAGCTGGTGGAGGTAAGGGTAGTTTAACTGGTGTAGCTGCTATGTTATTCCATAGTCCAGGAAGTCGTGATCCATCAGAACCATTACATTGCATTCCTGATTGTAATTAAAAATTTTCAATTAAAATATCAGACATACCTTAAAACTCTTAATCTAAAAATAAACTAAATAATTATGAACCTAATGGTGCAGCTTCATATAGATCATGCAAAGCTTGTACACGAATTTTGGTCCACTCGATGCTTTTATAATTTGAAGAAATTCCATTATCCATGCTAATTGGTTGATTTTCCCATTCTCTCATATATCGAAAATAAGTTTTTAGTGCATCATCGCTAATAGCACTTTTGCAAACCTGAGAAACAATAATTGCTTCTTCATTATAAATCTTAATAAAAAAATATTAATATTTCATACCTCTAGTCGCGCATTTGGATAATAGTGAATATAATTCACACACATTTCATCAGAAATGGCAAATCCACCAAGAGTAATATTCTCTCTATCCATTGTATTGTACGTGCAGGTTGTTATTAACGAATCTCCCTGCAATTAATTTACATAAAAATGTTTTACAAGTATACATAAAATAGATAAAGTATTAGATTTTAATTCTTACAGGCAAAATGGTAACAGGTTTTGGTAAAAGTCGAATTTCTTGGAAGTGAGTCGAATAATGGTTGTCATAATTTAATAGAGGCAACTCTTCCCCATCTCTAATATGACGAGTGATAACTTTTACTCCTGTTAAATGTGTGTGAAGTTGAGATGCGAAAATATGAATACCATGTTGTGGGAGACCAACACCTGTACATTCTTGTATACAATGTCCTGATAAAATAAAGGCTTCCTGCAACAGTTTTGTTATTGACTTTGATTTTTATTGCATTGTAATAATTATTTTTTTAAACTATATTTACAATGAATTATTACTTGTTGTGGAGGGATTGCCATTTTATCGGTATATTCTAAGCCCAATTCAATTACACCTGCATCATACTTCCGGAGACTCTTCGTAAGGATAAACCGAATTCCGGAAGAATCGACATTTCCATCTTGAAGTTCGGGATTATTGTAGTGAACCTCCAACATGACATAAGGATTAAAATTTTGACCACCAATTGAAAGACCAGCTTCTTCTGGATAGATGAAAGCATCTGCTCCCATTGCCCATGCTGCTAAAACTTTTTTACATATCTAAGGAAAAAGATAAAAAATAAAATGCTTTTAAAGCATTGTTCATATAAAAAGTGTTGAATTTTGTTTTGAAGGTAGAGATGGAGACTATTTTAAATAATTATAACTTACAACATAGTAAATTTTTCTAAATATTATATCGATGATTTTAATAAGAAATAACAAAAAGCTATGAAACATTGCAATTATAACTAAAGTTATTACAATTATAACTAGTAATTATTAAAATAATTAGAAAATATGAGTTGATAATTTAAAAATTACATAAATCGTCTTTTTATTATGTTTAAGAAAGTTAACACACTTGAGTTTTTTCGGGTCTGTCAGCTCCATCGCAACGACCAGCGTACATAGGAATTTCTAAATCTATTGGTCCAGCGCAGTGGAAAACCTCCATATGGTGAACCAAATGTTCGTTCCCCGTTTGTATAACTGGACCAAACTGCAGAATATGATGTCTAGAAATAATAGTTCGATAAAAAAAATGATTAATCTTAACAAATTTTATTGAAACAAGATAACTTACTTCTGAGACAAAATGGGTGGTAATTTATGCACTTGACACCAGTAAGTTGTTTCCTTGTTTGGCACATTCACTTGGTCAGCTAATAATTCCAATTGCCAAGAGTTTGATGGAAATGTTGGTTTTTTGTGAAGCACTCTGATTAATTCTGTTCTGGACATGCCAGAAGATTCTGCGTCTGATACTTGCAAGCCGGCCAAAGATGAAAGCGGTCCCATACCTTTTAACCATACTAAATGTGTGGTTCCTCTCTACAATTTATTAAGTATTATTTTGTCTTAGAAAATAATAAATAAACGATTAATTATAAAAAATAAGTTTATAAACCTCCATAACGTAGTCCCTGTCATCGCAAGTATCGAATTTCTTAGAAAAAGTGAATTTCGTTATATTTCCTCTCCTTCTCCATATAATATGTATCGCAAATACCTGTAATTGAATTTGACGGTGCCAATCGATCCACAAAATGCAATAATCAGCAGGTTTAAGTTCTCCATAATTTGAAAAACCGATGGCAAACCAAGTATTGTCAACACCTATGTAGTGAACTTCTGCGATTATTATTTCGCTCATAAAATCAACCCTAGAAATTATATTTTAATTTTTCCATTATTTTTCAAAGCACTACTTTTTAATATCTTCAAAAGAATAAACCCCCTTTAAAAATATACCTCCAATAAAAAGTAGCTCCTGAGCCAAGTGGAACTGTATGGACGTCTTTTTTGTCTGGGTCATCTCGTCTAATTTGGTGATGGTTGTGCCAGGATAAGCACGATCCATTTTTTAAAATTACAAACAAAATTAATAAATAAATTTTCAGTAACATTTTATACTTTAAGAACAACGATCCTTCTCACTGAAGAATCTCTTGTGTTTGATTTTAAGTTGCTTAACTATGAACTGGTTTCATAGACATTTTCATGATCCTTCACTTTCTTATCGCTGATTTCTACTAACAGATTCTAAACGATCCGAAACGACGAAGACTTCGTATAATACTGCTTTGCCGCCGATTCTCTGCGGCGCTCATGCGCAGAGGTAACATCGTAATAAAATTATTTCTTTTATTAAGTAAAAGCAAATAAAAAGCGTGATAGTTTTTAATGAATAAAAAATGTGAAAAATATAAAAAATATTTGTATAAATCATTAAATTGTTCTAATACTATAAAATTTATATATACTATTCGTAATACAGTTTGTAATACATGCGCATGTGCAGTAGTGAATGGCGCTTTAAAATGGTGTTCATACCTTGGAAGAATTATAATAAAAATATAAGTAATAATTGATTGACTAAATTATACAAATAAAGGTACGTGTAATCATTAATTTACTTCAATTTCGTATTTTTTATAAACTCAAGGTTCAAAATATGAATTTTAAATTTAAAAAGAACGACTGATTCTGATATACAGAATGAATAAATCTTTAATCACATATTTTGATTAAATATAATTTCTTATCATTTTAATGGAATATTTTTGTTCAAATTTTAGTAGTGTAATATTTATATCTATGTATATTCATCTTCTTCTGTCTTCATTTTATTTTAACTTCATTTACTTAAAAGTGGATTATCTAGGTTATCTATTTCCAATAAATGAGAAATCATACTGATTAAGGTCATAAAATCATTTAAAATTTAAGTGATAAGTGATCTTCCGTTATTAAAATTCTTGGAAATAAGACTTCATTTTAAAATGGATATGAAACTCAATTGTAATAATAATTTTATGATTATGTTTGAATATATGCTATTTGTTCTGTTAGGAGAATTTTGTAGAAAGGGAAGAAAAAAAAATGCCAAAACTTTGAGAAAATATCTTGATTATCGAATGCCAGGGGGCGCATATTGCATTCCAGTCGCGGCTCGTGCTTCTTCCGACCGTAATCAAGAAATTCCGTGGCTTTTATTGCGAGAACAATTTCGCGAAGGCTTTATTTAATGCGTATATGTAGCATGAGACACATAATATTAACCTCAAAATCAATTTTCAACATAATTCGATTCTTAGAATATCGTTGTATTTTATTTTATATATTAAATACGAAAATAATTAAAAAATTTATTTAATTTTATATAAGATATTTTAAAACTTTACAATTTATAATAATATAATACTACATATGCATTTCTACTATCATCTTTTTGTTTAGTTACAGATCTTCGTTCCTTTGCATCAATGAACGTATTAATCCTTTTCATGGCCTTTAGTTGATTGTGTGAAACACTACAATCCTGTTACTCTCACGGCTTCACAAACCTACAGATAGGTAAAGGTAAACGATCTCGTTGAAGACCTTGACTTCCGGATAGTTTCTGCGCTAACGTGCACTGCAATTTAATGTGTAGTCTGTAATCTATATTAAATAATTCGACTTTTCTTTACACTTAAAAAATTTTACCTTCTTTAATTGTGATTTACATATGAATTTTTGTCTAATGTACTAACTGAACCACTTATTAATCTCAAGCATCTTTAGATATAAATAAATATGATAAGAAGAAATCAATTTTAATTGGATGGATTTTAATTGTCGCAAGTAGAAATTTATTATACCAGAATGTTTCAGGGAAAATATTCTACTTAAAGTTGTTCAGGATAAATGTTATTTATATAGACGATCTTCTATTCTCAGAAGTGTAACATATATGCACAATTACTTTAGATTGTGTAATATTGTGAAAGAATAGTAACGAATTGTAAAATATGATTTTTGTGCCAGAAAGTTTTAAACTTTAATGAGACTGCATTGAATGTAATTGGGAATTTTAATCGCTTAGCTAACTAGAAGAACCTAGATTCTCAAATTACGTAATTACCTTGTTAATCTGATAGCGATAGTTTTCATAATATTCACAAGCGCCATCGCATAAACCTGTACAATCTCTGACTCATCAAAAATCGCAAATCTTATCACGTTTTATCTATCGTTGAATTTTACAAAATATGTTCGTAGAAAAATGGAATTTGTGAATACAAAGATTTTAATAAAACCGAAAGAGAACAGGTGACGTTAAAAAATAAGTTCATAAAATTGTTTCAGCTATGGAGTAGCAAATAAAAAATCAATTATAAGTAAATTTACAATAACGATAAAAGCTCGAATGTGGGAGGACATATTCTTAAGTCGAAGGTCAGATATGATCGACAAATGTTGAAAGGTTGACGACTTCTCATGCGTGTAGTGACGGATGGATTAAACGCTTTGAATACTTTTTATTATTTCTAAAGTACATCCAAGTACTTCCACAATTTATACAATTTTCTGTTCACAAATTGTCGGAATGACTAGCACGAAATAACTCAGATAAAATGAGGAAAGCTACATATTACAATTTGAAAATAATGAATACACAATTACGACACACAAGAAGAGTTATCGCCAAACTCAGCGTGCAGATATTTGTTTTTCGCAATTGTTTTATACTCGACTGTTAATATTTTTTATTTGCAGTACGACCGTAGTGCTATTCACCTTAGCAACAATGTTGGAATGTTCTGTTCTGGATTCCGTCTGTGTGACAGAAAATAAATTGCAAAGGATTAGCATCATTCCTTGCGTAATCCGTTGAAACAGAGTGCATCTATGACTTTATTCGGTCAGTCACAGTTTCTGAATGACTAAAATTTTCAATTACTTCCAATTAAAACTCATTAAGTTTTAACGATGACCACTGAGTTTCTAAAGAGCTGAGTATTAGTCAACTACTATGTTACTCTCAGTATGGTAGAGGAACAATTTATTTCATGTACATATACTCACGATTATATCGATTTTAGAGATTATTGGGTGAAACATCATTTAAAAAATACCTGAAAGACAAGAGGTTCGTGTCATATAGAGAAAATATTCGAAAATTTTATTTTAGAAATTAAGAAACTGTTCACATAAGTAGCTTTTGATCAAATATAAAATAAACTTAAATATTTCCATATTATATAAAATGGAAAGTTTATGAAAACTTTGCTTTATTTTATGTACAATTTGCTTTATTAATAGTACTTAATACATTCTTCAAAATCTCTAAAAGACGTAATTCTGCTTTGGACTGTGTACATCTTATCATCTTATCTTTAAAATTGCAGAAACATTGATAACTTGATTCGCAGTTATACAGCATATTCACGCATTAATCAAGGTAATACGTAACACTAAATACATAATTGAAATATTATATAATTAATAATTTCTACAATACTGTATTCTAACATTCATACATTGACATTAATAAAATTAAGTAAAAATTGAAAATGGTTATTAATACAAGACAAATTATTTCTTCTCATAAATGTCTATTTCATTTCAAGATGGCGGTAAAATATGGAAGCTTGAAAGAAGCTGCAAAGCCGACAAATGTGAGCAAAAGACAAGACGAATTAATAATACAACCTATTTGTGTATGTACGGGGCACCGTGAAGACATGACCCAGCAGTGGTAACGACATAGCAAAGGCCGTCGACGCCGGTTGGCGCGTGGAAGGTGGAAAGGGAACATGCAACTACTCGAAATTCTAAGCGACGAGTTACCGCGACAGTCGAGAAGCAGCGAGTGCTTGCGCTTGGACTTCAGTGTCGGAGCAACTGGTCCACGTCGTAGAACCGCGGCAAAAAAGCACACCAAAGGAATGTAATCTCCGTACGAATGACCGATTTTCTACCCGTGTTCGACGCGCTACAATTCAGACTTTCCTTCATTACCCACGGTGAGTGATTAAGTAAAGAATTCACAAAGCGAAGAACAGACATGCATGCGAGAGAATGTAGCTCACAAGCACGCCGCGCCGGATAGAAATATTCCGAGGCGGTTGATCGATGGATCGTCGCGATTCCGTATCTGTGTTTTCACAATTATTATATTTTTCCTGTGGAATTTCGTTGTGAAAAATGCTGATTTTTAGTTGTTTCCATTCCTTTATTCCAGTTTTAATTTTTTGGAGTGAGGAGCACAGATGCTACCGCAAGTTTGTTCACGTGGTTATAACTCGTTTGCCGCGCTCTCGTGTCGTGTGGAGTCGGTTATCAATTTTCGACATTGCAAGTTCTTTGAAGTGAAAATCGGAGTTTACCTCTAGTGCAGTAGAGAAACACATGTCTAATCCGTATTTTATTCGTACATTTGAAACAGATTCCTTGTTGGTGGATTAATCAAATATGTTTAATAAAGTTAGGAATCATTTCTTGATAGAATATGGAATATTTCTTAAGAATGAATTGCGTCTGAGCCATTTTAAGTATAAATATTTACTACTATCTTATTAATATTTATTAGAATCATTTAATACTGTACTTTCTATTTTCTATTGTGTTTTGTTTCATAATATTACTTCCTGTTTGAGGTTTTAGTACATATCTATTTTAGTACAAATCTATTTCTGTCATAATATGTGTACTAGAAATTTATATATTATTAGCATTGTTTGTTGTGGATTTTTTAATGCATACATTTAACGTATGTGTAAAAAAAGTTTAAGTGTTAGATTTAAATGTATTATTGTAGCATAATATTCTTGGTATTATATATATTTATTGAGGTCGTTCAATAATTACTTAGTATCCTATATCAAAGTGTACCGTGATGACTCAGATTGATAATTGGCGAATGATAAGGAGGTCGAAGAAATCGTGACATTATGCATTGATTTGATTCGGGTTGATTATATCCACGTGGTGTATTTCCGGTTGATTTGTGTTAAAATATAGATTGATAATGCGTTATATTCTAAGAAAAGTAATGACTTTACTAAAATTACGTAATTCAAAATATTAACAATAGTGTTAATAATTGTTGCAACTAAAATTATAAATTAGTTATTTTTCTATACAAAATCATTTATTCTTTACATTGCCATTCTTTGTACTCTTATTGACCATGAAATGTGATAAAAATACCCGACAATAGTCATTTCTATTCCTTACTTGATACCAGTCTAGATCTCTTGCGGTAATTAAATTTCGCAAAATTTTTCCACCTTCAAAAAACACGTCATAATTCCATCTAATTACGAGATAAGGAAGTGTCTCTGTGCGTCGATTTATAACACCGCATATCCAAGTATTACTAACATATTAATGTCACGATTAGATTTGAATACATAAACACGCCAGTTATAATTGCTAATTAAGATCATTAAGTCTAGTATATCATACATGTCCATCTCGAAATTTTTTATTTTCAATGGACGGAAAGGATTATAAATTCTTTTAGATTATGCATTCGCGCAAAATTGTATGTATTTAGAGTAGGCTTAGATTTTTCAACCAATACACCTGTTTCTATGGAAGAACTACTCATTTCCAGTTCTATATAAGGAGTGGAAAATATTGGAACTGTTTCGTCATAAAAGAATAGATCTAGAAAGCGTATAAAGGATTTACTGCTGTTCCTATAACACTGTTGGAATACTTCATTATGTTACTTTCAAAGAACTGATTTTTAAATATTTTTAGTTATAAATTATCTCGGGGTCAATAAACGGTTAAACCTTTCATGTTCGTATTAAGATATCTTTTGATGCAAGAAGTACACGAAGAACTATTTTTAGATTACCACCAGACAGATTATATTCAGGCTATTTTAGTCTTTTTGTCACTAGAAATTAACATTTTAATGACTATTTCATTTTCGAACATTTCCTGCAACCACATTGCTAAGTGTACAATTTTATTTTAGCAATTGAATTCCTAACAAGCCGAAGAAGCCATGAAGCCGTTAAACCAATTAATGCGTTTCTGAAATGTCTTGAACATTTACTGATGGAAGTATTTATACTTTTGTGTAACAAGCGTCAATAATAAATACAGTATGGTGTTGGACGCAGAAGATGGGAAACTTTTTAAGATACGACATGTCGAATGCAAGTAAACTCTGACGATAATGAGAAAGCTCAAGTTGCCTCAATTTCCGAGACTCGTTTTCACACGACGAAGCCATCGTTGAGAAATAAAGTTCATTGATAATCAACTAAAGCGAAAAATAAGAAATTTCATAATGAAGTGAAGAGAATAGAAGAATAAATAAAAACAGTCGTTGAAACTATTGATATCTTTTGGAGGAAACAAACTATAATCATTTATAAGATAATTCCATAATCTTATTGTACACCCCAATACTTTCAACAATTTTGTTGAATTTTACTAGAAATTTGTACGATTGACCGTCTCTTAAATATCTTAGTTATTTTTACATACATTTACATTTACATTTACATTGGATTATGCAACGCTTAAAAATCTGACACTATACTTAATGGCAAGTTTACCCGTTAACGCTCATAAGTGTTACAAGTGTTGTACTGTTACGAAACTTGCTATCGATAAGTATAGTTCGCCTAATGAACGATAATTAAAGAAACTAAACGCATCTAATTGCAAATATCAACGTAAAAGCCGCGAACGAGCTTCGACCTTAACCTTCGTCCACGATTCGCAAGTTTCTAACATCATCCGTTAGTCTTCTTTGTCTTTTTTATCTATGAAGTTCTTCCTATAAATTTAACGCTGTCGATGTCGACAGTAAAAATTGTCATATTCTCTCACAGCAGACAGTCTGGTATACTAAATTTTATTATAACGAAATCCGTAATATTATAATTAATATAGGAATATTTTGTTATTGAAAAACTACAATTAACTTGATTCCTTTAGAAAACCGTATCAATTTCCCTGATATTTTAGAAAAAAGAATAAGAGTGAGAAGTAATGTTATTTTTTATAAAGTTTAACAGTAAAAAGATCGGGATGATACACGCATAATACTATAAACGATTATCCATAATATACTGATCATTAATTAATATTCGAATTAATATACTAAATTATTTGAAATCATTATAATTATTTGTTATACATTCTGTTTTTTTCTACCGATAATTGACGAAATTAACATTAAGTTATCTTCATATTCAGTAAAAATGCATAAATCACAAAGGCAAATCATAATATTAATTGTAAAATTATACTTTATAAGTGTTGATCTATTTGCACATGTAATTACAAAAGCTGTACTTCAAGAGAATTCAATCTTAACTTCCGTCTCGTTGTTATTTAAGCCAGTGCAAAGTAGACAACATCGATTAAACACGAGTCAAGTTAAGGAGCAGATGAATGATTGAATATGAGGTAGTTCATAAAAGACAAACACTATCGTTCGAACTCGATTTTTCATTGATGCACATGCTGTTGACTTCGTTCTTGATTTCTTAATTCACTGCACATAAATCAGAATTGTTTTGTTATAATATCTAAACAAATGAAATTGCAATAGGACTAAAGTAAAAATTTTTGATAATACTGTAAATGTGTATTCTAGAATCAAATTATAATTTTTCTCTTGATGTTGTAATGCAGAAAAATTACATTATATATGTAAATTTGAAGAACTTGCAATGAGTGACATTATCATTAAAATTTAATTAAACTATATTTTACTAATAATTAAAACATCGCTATCGTATTAATATAATAATGATAGTAACAGCATTTAATAATTTTCAGTAACACTTTCTAGTTTTAAAAGTTATTTATGTTATAATGTATGAACTTAAAGTATTGTATAACGATTAATTAAGCAAATGATAATTTTGATTAAAAAAGAATTTGTTTGACTGTTTTAGTAATCACGGGATAAGCGCGTATCGGCAGCTGTTAAAACGCCTAAGGAGGTCGAAGACCAGGCTTCTGTAATCGATGGGTTGAGAACGCGAAATTCGTGCTTTTCAGCTTTCTTCTTTTCTCGTAACCAAGGTGTATAGCTTACCGATGAGCCATGCTGAAGGTAGTAGGAGCCTCTTGGCTGCAGACACGCATCTCTACTTATATCCTCATTGCCGTAGCTTTGCTAGGAATTGGAGCTATAATTCTCGGTGAATTCGGACAGTAAGTTCACTAATCCATTAAAAATTCACTATACCACTTCAGAATAAATCAAGATAACGATATTACTAACACCTATAAATCTTCGTAAATTTAAGGCCAACATAAATTCTCCAGAGCGAAAAATGAAATACACAAAAGTAAGAAACAAGTATGCAAAATAAAATAATTTCGTAAGGTTTGCAAAATGCTTATAAAAAGTATACCAAATGTAAAAATAATTACAAAAAAGAAGTATCTAGATACGGATGTAAAAGTGTATGAAAAATGTTGTAAACCATAATATAATCCGTAATTGTGGAATGCGCAATTAAATTGAAAACGAGGAATAAATATTACGACATTCACTAATAAATTCGTAATATTCACTTATCATCATACGTATGCAAATGAAAAAAATCAGTGTACAATGCAACTTCATTCCACATAGACTATTCTAGACACTTGATAAATTATCATGCCCCTATGCCAATATTTCTATGTTCCATTGTAATTTCGATAAACAGACCATTCCGTGAATCTTCTATTAAGAAACAAGTGTTCCCGCTTCGAAGATCAATGTTCCTGAGATAACTCTGGTCAATATCGACATATGTACAACTCGTGCAGCAAGTTACAGCGATCAAAACCGTCAGCATTTCAACGGTAACGAACTGGATGAGACCGATCACGACATAGGATCAAGTAACACGACGTCTGGCTTCTCGAATTCGCGCTTGTCGCTATCACAGCACGGCTGGTGCGTGCACACTCTGGGTTTCCGAGGTGCGAATGATTTTGCGAACTCGACACACTTTATCTTGTTCGCCGCGTGCACAAACGTCGAAACATAATTTCATCGAACAGATAAAGGAAATAATATTTTACTTTGCAACATATTCTTCATCGTTATTTGCACCGGTCATTATCATTTGCGTGTGGTCCGCATAAATGCTTGAAATATATTTTAGCTTAGAGTTAAATACCTTTTTATTATTTTAGGACTGCTTAATTGGTTAGCCACTGCCTTTTATTGTTTTTTATTATTGTAGTTGTTTATTATTCTCTTACTGATTTTTGATACTTGTTTTTAATAAGACTTCTGAAAACTATTAAGCAAAAGAGCAATGGTACTTACTGATTTATTTTTAGGTGATTTTGTAGTTTGTTCAAGTTTTAATTTTATTGAAAAGATTAATGTGTAAGCAAACAATTGATTAAAATTTATTTTACCAAGTCTTGTGAGTAATTCTTTTTTTTCATGAATGATGTTATTATTAGTTATTAATTATGCCAATTATTAATTTTAGATATTTTGTATTAAGAAATGTATATAATGTACATATTTGAATCAGCCATTTTTCTTTACAGCGTTTTAATTAGTTGATAATAATTTTTAATTACATATTGTTATATATTGATAGTGTAGAACAAGATGGAATCTATTCAGCCACTGTATTATGGAACCGTAAAGGGGGATACCGCATTGACTTTTGGGGCCAAGGCAATGATTTAACTGCCGTGCCATTGCACGCAGCTCGAGCTTATTACAAAACTGGAATTTTCGAGCACGGGTAGGTCAATGCCATCACATTTATTCGTTAGATAAAATTAATATATCAAAGTTATATTACCAATAAACCCAAGAAAATTCATATTATATAATAATATAATGATATATATAGGATAAGTAATTACTGTAACATTTGTAATATAGTAAATAATAAATTAAATAACTAACAAAATAATTTTACAGATGGTCCTATATTGAGATAGAAACATCATCAAAATATCCAGATACGGTACAAGCTTATGCTGCTGGATTACTAGAAGGCAGTCTGACTTGGCAACTGATTCATCACCATTGGTATAATACCATAAGACCAAAATGTGAAGCAAAACCTGCCGAGTGTCAAAAGTTAACGCGATATCTTCGTGACAACACGGCCATAATTCGTGAACGCGCTGAATTGATGGAATCTAATGATCCTTTTTGGCATATGGTATACAATTATGCAATTATTTTTGCACTATATCATTTTTTTGTGACTATAAGAAAAATAGAACAGTTAAATAGTAATCATAATGGTCAATTAATTTTGAATAGATTATAAGGAACAAAGCATCAATACAGTAAATATGAAAGATAAAACTAATTTTTGTTTAGGTACGACTATTTTACACACAATTAGATGGATTGGAAGCTGGTTGGAAATTTGCTGTACGTCGCAGTCGTGTGTCGGTATCACTGGAATCTGAACATTTCCTTTGGCTCGCTTTGGCTTCAGATTTATCTGGTTTTCAACAAGTATTCAATATTTCTGATCATCTAATAAATTCCATGATTTATTTTAAATCACTTCCAAGGGACAATTCGGAACCCTTAATTGCAATTAGTCATCATACTGCAGCACCGTAAGTAAGCCATTATATAATTTTTAAATATTAATACAAATTTTAAATGTAAACTAACATAAATCCTACATTTTTAAACAACAAAGATAATTATGGTAAACGGGAGTATAATTATCTGAATAATTTATGTACTAAGTATACTTAAACGAACATTTTACTATATAATAGAAATTATTATAAATAGATTACAAATGTTTGCTTTTGATTTTGCAGATATACTCAAATGTTGAGACTTATAAAAAAATACACATTTGGCTATCATGTGCTACCTATGACAAAAACGGTCTCGCTAACTCCGGGTCGATCAATCGTAATGTCATCCTATCCCGGAGCATTATCATCTCGAGACGAATTTTATTTAATAAATGGAGAAAATCGCGAATTGGTTGTTATTGGGACACCTTTATTAGCAACGAAACGAAATGAGTGGAGTTTTGTATATCCAGAAGATCATGTATGAATTATTTATTACATGAATACATATATATTTATATAGATTATTAATTTATTTATGTTATAAATATAGGTAATGCTAACCATAAGATTAATGGCAGCAAATCGATTAGCAACAAACAGTCAATCTTGGTTTAACATTATGTCCCATCAAAATGGTGGTGCTTCTGCATTGCAATGGATCAGCTTCGAACCACGTTCTATGACCGTATTATTAGTAGAACAATTACCAAGCATCACTGTTGCTATGAATTACACTGAGGAGTTCAAAAAAACTGGTTTGATAACTTACGTTGGTATATCGAATTTTCAAAACATCGACGACATTTTACGGCCTGCCAAAAAGGATGTAAATCTTTGGAAAACCCGTTTAACACATTTACAAAAGAACATTACTACATTTGAACAGTTTCGAAACACGATGCGTGGATGCAGCCAGGAAAGTTGCGAAAAACAAAATTCAAAAACAGATAGATTGCAAGAATTGACGTACCGTGGAGATCTAGAAGATGTGCCTGTTCCATATGGTGTTATAGACACAAAAATCTTAACAATTGATGTGAATGGTTTCGAAACTTTTGAAGCCATTTCTGGACCATCTACATCACACTCGCGATTACCATTTAAGTGGTCGACAAGTTTTCCCAATATTTCACATGTAGGACATCCAGATACGTTCGATTTCGAAAGTATTACTCCAAAATGGATTTGGATCTAATTAATATAATTAAAATTTTATGTAAAACTGATATTTTTTTAAACTTTTTAAAAGTTTTTTTTTAAATATAGACGATTTCCCATCAATTCTATGCAGTCATATTTGTATTCTGTTTAGGCAGAGTTTTAATAATAGTACTTTAATATTTTGTAGCTGGCTCATATGTTAGCTACCTATGGTAAAATTTTAGAAAATAAAATAAAAACTTAAGAATTTATTGTATTTTATTGACATTATCTCAAAATCCTTATCCTAGTATTAAAAAGTATAAACCTAAAATTTTGTTAACAAGTTTCCATTATTAAAAATTGCTTAATTTATACATAATATATTTATATGATTATATATCATATGACAGTTTTGATATATTTTAGTGATTTGAATTTATTTGAAATTTATATGAAAATTAATTTTATATAGATTTTAAGAATTATACTATGTTCAATTAATATTATTTATAGTTCAATAAAAAAATAATTATGGTGCTACCATCTGACAATATTTGCACGAAATGACGTTTAATACATCGGTAAAGCTAAGCTTGTTGAAAAGTACATGTGTTTTCACTGAATCACGTTATACATGTTAAATGATAACATTTATTTATTAAATATTTTATCAGTGAAATTAATAATTTAGAATTAGTTTATAATTTTAAATTAATTATGATGTAATTCTTAAAATTTTATATTCTTCAACTTATCATTTTCTACCTATCGTTTACTACAAATTTCATCATAATTCGTGAAAGTATCACCTAATTATCGTTATTATGGAAAATAATAATCCAGAATATGATTCTGATAATGAAATATTAAATAAAGTATATATGAATGAAAATATTAATGACAATCTAATGGAAAAGGTTAGATTACAAAATTTCTTTAGTACAAATATCTTAAAATTTTTATAATTAAAAATAGTATATTTTTAAGATATTTTACATTTTCATTTAATTTGAATTATATTTTATTTAAAATGTTGTATAAGATGTTATTTTTGTTAGCTGCAATTGTAATGTTTGAGAAAGTTGAATGTATATATCTTATACAATATGAACCATAAAATTTTATTTTATTTCATTATCAATAATAATAAAATATTATTAGGTTTTATCTGTAAGAAGTGAAGAAAGCATTTTTTGTGAAACATCAAAAGAAATTAATGATCTTGTAAAATCAAGTATACAAACAAAAAGTGGTTCAGAAGAAATAAATATTAGTGATAAAACTAATACTATAAATTTTTCAAAACAAAAAGAATTAGAAAAACAAGTTTTAAGTGGTGAGATTACACCATTTCAAGCAATTGAAAAACAGTCTGATTTGTCAAAAACTAAAGGGTATGTGATATTAATAAAATTATCATAAAAAAAATAATAGAAACTAAATTTAAAATTTCATTTACAGAACATTTAATAAATCATCTCATTTACTTGATCTTGAAAAATACCTTCGACAACAGGCTGAACTTGCCAAACAAAGAAAACAATTAAAGGAAAGCTTAAAGGTTTCTAAACCTGATACTAAGCATGCGGTATTAGTTAAAAAACCCAAATTATCCAATATTAACTCGAAAGAATGTAAAACTATAGAAAAAACAAAATTCAAGATCAATAAAAGAAAATTAGTTCCTAATTTTGAAACATCAAAAGATTTAAATACAAATACTGATATCAGTTGTGGAATAGAAGATAATAAATCTAATGAACTTGATGATTCTATCAAAGGAACTAAACATTCCAAAAATGCATTTATTTTCTATAATACATCTAAAAATAATACTAAAGACACATTGACTAAAAATATAGCAAATATTAAGCCTATAGATATAGCAAGTGATTCTGGAAGTGAATATGTACCAAGTGAAGAAGAAATTGATTCAGGTAAGTAGTTTTGCCAACTGAGTTTAGAGATCAATATTTATTAAAGTTTTTTGTTAATGTAATAGAATATAATATTTTGTTAATTTTATAGAAAATGAAGGATCATCATCTAAGAAAAGAAAATCTCTTAGAAAATCTATTCATACAAAAAAAGGTATACATTATAGTTGTTAAAATTAACTATTATAATATACCACTTTCATTAATAGTAATTTATGAATTTTAGTTTTGGATGATGGGGATGAACAAATGTATAGACAAAGGGTGGAAGAAAATGGTTATCCAAAGGCCAAACCACTACATAAAGTAGATAATTTATTTAAAGTTCCACAATCTATATGGAAAAAATTATATAAGTATGAATAAAATTATTAAACGAAAATAATTATTATATTAGAACAATTTAATTCTTTTATTTCCTTTAGGTATCAAAGAGTATCTGTACAATGGTTATGGGAACTACATCTTCGTGGCTTAGGAGGATTATTAGGTGATGAAATGGGATTGGGAAAAACTGTACAAGTAATTGCATTTCTTGCAGGATTAGATTGCAGTGAATTACTATCTGATGGTGGAAGGTAAACGTATTTTGGTTTACAAATTTTCTTATAGTTTATAAAATAAATTCAAAACATATATTTAATTAATAAGTACTTATTAAACAAATAATGCTTATTCATAGATTCCGAGGATTAGGACCTAGTATAGTTGTTTGTCCAGCTACGCTAATGGAACAATGGGTAAAACATTTTCATGAATGGTGGCCTATCCTAAGAGTGGTTGTTTTACATCATTGTGGAACTTACAGTGGTAAGGGTAAAATTATACTTCATTCTAGAATATAATTTTATTATATTTGTATTATCGATAAATATTTTTTTAGGTGATTTGGAATATTTAATGCACTCTTTAAAACCTGGTGGAATATTAATTACATCTTATTCTGGTATGCTTAAACATAAGGATTTACTTATAGCCAATCAATGGCATTATGTCATACTTGATGAAGGTCATAAAATAAGGAATCCGCAAGCAAAGGTAGTTCATTGCTTTTAATACACAAGGACCTTACAGTTTCGTACAGAAATAATTACCATTATATCATTGTAGGTTAGTAAAGCAGTGAAGGAGTTTCCCACACCACACAGGCTTTTGTTAACTGGTAGCCCCATGCAAAACTCCTTAAAAGAATTGTGGTCCTTGTTTGATTTTATACTACCAGGGAAATTAGGGACTTTACCTGCATTTTTAGAGCATTGTGCAAGTCCTATAACACGTGGAGGATATGCAAATGCTACTCCTTTACAGGAGGCTACTGCACTTCAGGTTGCTGCAATGCTTAGAGATGCTATTACACCATATATGCTCCGAAGAACAAAAAATGATGTGCAACATCATGTTAGTTTACCAGAAAAAAACGAGCAGGTTTTTAATGTTATATTCTTCTTCATAATAACTTATAATTTTATATTATAATTGACATTTTTTTTTTTTTTTAAGGTATTATTCTGTAGTTTAACAGAAGAACAAAAAAAATTATATAAAAAATATTTGCGTTCTGCAGACGTTTCTTTCATTTTACATGAAAAAAATCATATAGAAAGCGGAAGATACAAAGCCCGCCTTTTAATAGCATTATCAGCCCTCAGAAAAATATGTAACCATCCCGATCTGTTTCTTTATACGAGTCCAATTGTATGATTTAAATTTTATATTACAATTTTATAACATTCATTATATTTCATTAAGTGTGTATTTAGGATTCTGATGAAGAAGATTTTAATATATCAGATGAAACATTGGAAAAATTTGGATTCTGGAAACGTTCCGGTAAGATGATAGTGGTCCGATCTCTACTTAAGATTTGGAAAAAACAAGGGCATAGAGTATTACTTTTCACTCAAGGAAGACAGGTAAATAAATTATATGATTATTTACAAAAAATGTTACAAAAAAAATATGTAACGAAATTTAATTTGCAGATGATGCATGTTTTAGAATCATTAATACAAAGTGAAGAATATACTTATTTAAGAATGGATGGAACAACTCCTATGTCACAACGACAAGAAACAATCCATTTGTTTAATATGGTATGTGTTAATAAGCAAAAAATGTATTGTATTAAATTCACAAATATCTTAAACCTTTCTAAAACTTAATTTTTTTATATAGGATTCATCATATTTCATTTTTCTATTAACTACACGTGTTGGAGGTTTAGGTGTAAATTTGACCGGAGCAAATCGTGTAGTTATTTATGATCCAGATTGGAATCCAGCAACTGATGCTCAAGCAAGAGAACGTGCATGGAGAATAGGGCAAAATAAGAAGGTCACTATTTACAGGCTTATTACTGCTGGTACTATTGAAGAAAAGGTAAAATTTTTAATTTCTTTTTCCTAGATATTTTTAATTTATGAAAATAAAAAAATTTATTTTTATAAAATAATTCTATTTTACTTTAGATATACCACAGACAAATATTTAAAGTACTTTTATCGAATAAAGTGTTAGAAGATCCACGTCAGCGTAGACTATTTAAAACTTCCGATTTAGTTGAACTTTTTAATTTCAACGAATCCATTGATGGTCATTCTACTGAATCTGATGAATTATTTCGAGAGTCTAGGTTAATTCCTTTAACTGCCAAATTTTCATCTAATAAAATTGAAAAAATGAGAAAATTGGCAGCTACACTTAGCAAAAATATAAGCCAAAATACCTCAAATTCTACACCTGGAGTACACATAACAGATGTTACAGAAAATAATTGTCCCTCCAATTGCCACAATAAAAATAATAATCCTAATAATCCTAATAATAATAATAATAATAATAATAATAATAATAATAATAATAATAATAATAATACTATTGATCAAGGACAAAATGATAATTTAACAAACGAAAATATTACAAGTGAAGAAAATTTTCATAAAAAACATGAAGATACTTCTTTTCTTGAGAATCAGAAAGATATTAGAGACAAGGATACACAAAATAAAATTTCAGAAAATATCGAATATAATACAGGCAACATTTTAAACGTAATAAATAAAATAGAAAACGAAAATCATACATTAAAAAATAAATCAAATGCTGATATTAAAACAGATGAAATTTCAAACGAAACTATTATACAAAGTTCATCTACTGATTCTACACTTGATATTTTTAATAAAAATAACGAAACCATTTCATGCAATGTGAATGAAGATTCATCGTCAAAATTAAATAAATCACATCATAAAAAAAGAAATAAAAAAAAACCTCAATCAGAAAAACACTCTACTTCTGCCCTATTTGAAGGAGAACGTATTTCACATTTAATTGGACGACGTCTTGGTCGTTCTTTGACAGAAGAAACTGAATCGATTGAAGATGATCAATATGTCTTAGAAAAATTATTCGCTAAAGCGAGTAATTATTTTTTTATAATATAAAAATCCTTTCTATATAAAGTTTCTTATATAAAATAATAATAAAGTATATGAAATATTTTTTCTAGGTGTAACTTCTGCTTTCCAACATGAAACAGTATTATCAAATACAGGATATAATTCGGATGATAAAAATCCAATGCAACGATTAGCACGTGAAACAGCGCAAGAAAATATGGATAATATTCGTAAATCTCGTAAATGGTGTTGGAAACCTACTTGGGATTCTACAAAAAATGACTAATAGTCTTATGCATAATATGTTGCAGGTAACTAAAGTATAAATTTAGTCTATATAATTTATAAAAAATTATTTTATTTTGTGAGTTTTGATTTTTCAATTAAACACATAAGTTTGATTTAAGTTTATATTTACAGGAAAATAATTCTTTGTTCGATAAATATTAAAAATAAGTACAACTAAACAGACATATTTTTAATATGAAAAAATAAAGTATTTTTTCGAGAAAGCATCAAAGTAAATTTTTTTTCGTATTTCAATCACTGTCTATGCTAATGATTTTGTTAATTTTTATTTTTTTATTTTTGTAAAAAATATTGTTTATATAATTATTTATTATTTAAATGTTATACTGTTTTATGTAATAAATACATATGTATTATTTTCATGATTTAGAAACAAGGAAATTTCTTTTATTTCACTGACTTAAAGATACGTTAATATCATCCCCCTGTACCACCTTGAGATAATACATATACATATCTCAGGCACTTATGTATAACAGATAAATTAAGAAGTAATGAAGAAATGTAATATGTAAATATTTTCATGAACAAACAAATGTTACTCTTTTTTGTTAATTAAATTAATGAAATATTTTTTTATCTATTACTAATTATAATCATTAACACTTTGGTAAAAAAATTATTAATTGTAATTTATTATTAATTAAATAGTTGCTATGCAATTGAACACTATATAAAGATTTGTAAGAATATTTTGACAGAAATATTTTTCATACTCATATAAGTAATAAACATGTAGGAATATACATGTTTATACATATATCACGAATGCATGTCTTTAACGAAAAAATTTGTACTGATAAAAAAATTAAAAAAATTTATCTGAATTAAGTTAATATTTACATTTGTTTACTACCTTTTTACATTCAGTACCTCAGAAATTCTTCAAGCTTAGGACCTTTTCTACCTAAGGGATCTTCCGGAAACATTACATAATCTCCTACAAACGTTGGTGCTAATAATCGATTTTCGATTGTATCACGCCACTCTGGCTTTTCCATATATAAGTCTCTATATTGATCTAAAGAAACCACAATACCTCCACACATAGTAGCATACTCTAATATAAACCTGGAATAAAATTGATATGTACAAAATGGAGAAATAGTTTACGCAACAATTAAAAAGAAAAAAAAAAATAGTTTACCGATCATCGTAAGGAGTTATCCGCCTACCAGCGATATTCCGACTTGGCGTAAAAATCACTATTCCATCTGTGTATAATTTTTCGAGTAATGGATGGTTTAATGATCTCCTATGCTGAGGTACAAATACTTTTACAGAATGACCTCTCTGTTTGAAATAATCTATAACTATCATTATTCCTTCTTCTGAAAATGTTTTACCATTTTTATGCCTAGAAAATGTTATATTTATGCGATAATATAATTATAATACATAAATTAAATATAATCATTGAAAAACCAAGATCATCATACGCCATAGCGACATTGTTGCCATCAATAACTATCTCCCTTAATTTAATAGATGGTTGAGATTTAGATGATACAACCATAGACAATTCAGTTCTATATGGTTGAGAAGTAGACCCCAAATTAGTTACAAATCCAGGATTAGATGGTTCATATAACTTAGAAGATTCAAATGCAGATTGAAATTTGCACATAACTGGTCTAGTAGATGTAGTAGATGTAGTAGATGTAGTAGATGTAGTAAATATAGTAGGTGTAGTATATGTAGTAAACGTAGTAGCAGTAGCAGATATAGAACAGCTTGGTATTTGCTGTCTAAAATTTCTTAATGTGTGGTAAACTTTTGGTCTTTTCATTACAATTTGTTTACTTATATTATGAGCTTTAGGAAGTTTTAAACCACTTTTACTAAAAGGTAGACATTTAAAATCTTCTGTTTCTTGTTCTTTTTCCACTTTGTTTTCTATATCATTTTTTTTTACTTTTTTCTCATGCTGTAACATTACTTCTGCACTACATTCTAAACAACTAAGGTTCTTTGGATTTGGACTATTATCTATCATAAAAATTCTTTTATCCTTGTCTTCATTTGTAGTTTTGTTTTTTGATTGATCCACAGGTGGTGATGGAATGTTTGTAGATGACCATACCACAACAATTTCATCTGATCCTTGATTTACAGAATTTGACACTGGTGCTATAGAAATTTAAACTAGTATAATACTTAGTATAAACTAGTATAATACTTAAAATATTTGGAACAATATAACTGATTTACATGTTCATATTTTACCTTTGTTTTCATCATATAAATCAATAGTTGCAATTTCACAATCTTTTGTATTGGACTTTAAAAAGCAAGATGAACTATTTTCTGAAAATGTTATATTCTTTTTCTGTCTTTTTCTTGGTGGTGCACTAATATCTGTTATTATTTGACTTAAAGTTTCATTTGAATTACATTGTGAGATTTGTTTATCATTTACTGATAGTTCCAAGGATCTTTTTCCCCTCTTTCTTTCTTGTCCATATTTCTTATTACTTTCTTTTTTATTTGATTCACTTTCATTATCACTTAAAACAATTATGCTATCTTGTAAAGATCTTTCATTTACAAGAGAAAAAGTTTTTTTTTTATCATTAATAGCTCGTTTAACTCCATTACTTAATCTTTTTTGTGCTTGTAATTGTTCCCATATTTTACTGCTATAATAATAAAATAAATTTCTATATATTTTATCCATATCATTAAAATTTTTTGCATTTTCTATTACCTTAACTTAATATGTTTCAAAGGACTTTCATAATATGTTCGTTTTACATTTTTTTGTGCTGTTTTTGTTCTTAAAGCCACTTTCCTCCTTGTTAACTTTGGAGATTCATCACAAATTATAACAGAATCATTTAAAGTGTCCATTTTTTAATTTTGTTCCTGATCTGTAAATCTGCTACATTAATAATTATATTTCATAAAATAAAAATATAAATAAAATATACATCTATTTTTTGAAAAATGTTCAAAATCTTTTTAAATATTATTTAACAAATATAAAGAACTAATTTCATAAATTTAATGGTTACAACATTATACATTATATATAAAATAAATAAACATTTATAAATATATTTATTGAAAATATTAGAAACTATATGAATACGCTATGTTAATTAAATTATTTCATAATGTTTACAAATTTCGTACATTTTTCATAATTTCATGCGAAATTTTTTGTACACAAAGAAACTCTTTCGTAACCTAACCCAACAACGCCATTAAGTACAACACTAAACTTTAAACAATTTAACATTTTCCCGTAAATATGCTTTCAGTTATATGTATATAACAAATGTCATTCTGCTCCCTTGAACACTTTAATTAATTAAAATTAATACATTTTCTTATATTACAAGTACGTATTAAATTTAATTATATAAAAATAATAATTTTAATATCATAAGTATTTTTTTAATATCTGTTAATATTTTTTCACATTTTTACTCTGTAGATACAATATTAAACAGGAAAAAAGATGTTATTCTGAATAAAAAATAAACATATGATGTTACATGTTATAAATTAATATATTTTATATATCACAAGATATTATCACGTACCATTTCAAGGATAGACTTACTAATAGACATTTAAATACATAACACAATAGTTAATTATCATAGGAACACTAAAAAAGAGAAATAATAGAAAACTTTAGAAAAATGTCAAAATTTTTATTCACTTTGTCGATCTAGCAATTGTCTATATACAATGCTTCAAGTTGGAGCGCGACAGTAGCGGCCAATCACAAACACAGCAAGCGCATAATGCTAAAAAGAAATCGTCGATTGGTCGAAATTCGTACAACGGTGCGGGGGAAGTGAATGTGTGCTGGTCTGGCCCGAACGCGGCTACATCCCCGTGCTAGACCAGCAAGCAAGTAGTAACGTTAACGTTAGAATTTTGTCTTTTGTTTAATTCTTTTATGTTTATTTTACCGGGAAGCGACTAAGTCTAAAGATCGTGGAATCATCGAAACAGACATTTGGTGTACGGGGATCAGCCAGAAAATTCACCAGCACCGGTTCCATGCTAAATTTTCAGTGTGATCAAGTAGTCAAAAGCGTATTCAGGCAGCCTTCAACGTAAACAAAAATGGAGTTAGGGGAGGGAGAGGCGCAAATTTGTCGACTTTGCGGCCAGTACGAAAGTATATACATTGATGTGTTCGGTGAAGAGGGTACCAAACGATTTTTAGGATTAAAAATCCACACAAAAGTCAACATTCTGGTGAGTACAACGTAAGAGGTGTGTCGTGGGGCCCGGGCCCCAGTTGTAGTTAGAGGAGGGGGTTAGAAAAATGGCCGGAGGGGAGAAGAGCATGAAAAAAAAGATATTCTGTCCATTCTTTGTTATCTTTGTTGTGCTATATTTCTGTAGCAAAAGTTGGTTTTCGTAGGTTTATTACTAATATCTTGTATGCTTCTATACTTTGTTTCTTTTGAACAAAAGTATATCTCATTATTTAATTAACATTTACTGTGTTACTCTAAGCGTGTGTCAAACAATTTGTTTAAAACAAAAAATGTAATTTAAATTTGAAATAGGAAAACTCAGTAATTTCGTTCGTATGTAAGTTAATTGTATGATTTTAGTATGTGTAATTGTAATTCATGAATTGTATATAGTGATAATGTACTATACAAGAATTTTGTTAAACAGAAGACATTTATTTTATATATGAATATTTGTTATTAAATATTTATGTTCTTTATTTTACAACAATGTTTTTCACTTTACTTCTTCTTCATAATGAAATATTTTGCAATCAACTTTCCTAAATATTATCTGTATTTTAAATCTGATTAATCAGAAAATTCATTTGAATTTGAAAAATTTAATTTATTTATTTAAAAATTGATGTATATGTAATTTTGTATATGGTATTTACTATTCAGATAGTCATAAATGACCATAAATATTATTGTGTTTGCACAACAATAATAATAAATATTCAAATTGACAATGTATAATATTAGAGTGGGTACCAGATTATAAGAATTTTCAGATTAGTGTATCTACAGAGCGGTAGGGTTTAAATTAAATTATTCACTTATGTTTGTAATTATCCTTTAAGAAGGACTATATGGTTTCTCAGTTCAATTAAAAATTGTACAAAATCAGATTTTCAATTAAGATTTTTAAAATCACATTTATTTAGTATTTAGATATTTTGTTTGAATCGCAGATAGATGAAAGGGATCCTCTGCCCAAGGCGATCTGTGTTCAATGTCTGGGCAAGCTCGAATTCGTTTGCGACTTCCAAGAGGAGTGTCTTCGCACCCAACAAGTGTTACGCGATCGATACAATCTACCATCCTTAACAGAGATTGTAAGTCCGTACTCAAATTTAATGCACAGCTCTACCGCTCATCTATGATGCTACCAGAGCATGCAGCTCATTTTTTTCTATGAAATTCGAATTATATAAAAAGGTATCATCTGGTATTTTGGTTTACAAAAAGTTTTATGACAAGCAAGACTACAATTTCAATTGAATATGAATTTTACTTTTAATTGATTTGTGTTTGTATATAATAAAATATATAATAAAAGATGTGTACCATAAATACCAGATTAAATTTATTTGCTTTAATAAAATTAATAAATTTCTGGTACCCACTTCTATTTTTATTTCAATCTATCTTTAGGCTGAAGTAAAGACTGAAGTTACAACACCAAGTACATCAACAAACAACAACAACAATGAAACCAACAAAAATCTTAATTCTCCAAGTGATGGAAATGTCAAAGTAGAACAGCGTGTTTTAAGAACAGCTACAAAGACTCAAAGAAATTTAAGGAGTCAACAAGTAAAAGGAAATGAAGATACTTCAAAAGATCAAAATAGTATTCAAAGCACTAGTGAAGACAATACAGAGAATGTACAAATTGTTCAAAGTTCTGAAACAACTCCTACACGATGGCTTAGAAGTAGACAAAGTACAGAAACAATTATTGTAAATGAAACGACTGATCGACCAATCGCAAATAGACTTAGAAGTCATGACAATACCACTACAGAAATAACCGTTAGTCCACGTAGTAGTTCTAATGAAAATGGTGAAAAACCGAATGGAAAACAGCAAGATCCACATACTATTCAAATTCCAACATCGGCGTTGAATAAACTTCTCAGTATCGTGTCAAATTCACCAAATATTGAAGTTTCTGTAAAAGAATCCAAACCTCAAAGTAGCGACATTGAAGATATTAGTTTCACAGTAGAACTATGTAAAAAGGAAAGTGACGATGTAGCTACCGTTCAAGCACGAGTATTTCCAGATCAGGGTTCCTGTTTAGTGGACAAGGCGATTGTTGGTCTTTTACAAAATCAAAGTTGTGTAGAAGTAAATAGTATAATAAACACTATTATCAATAGTAGCTTGAAGAATGGTAATTCAACAAAGTTGAAGGATTCCGCTGAATTCGAACAAAAGTGGCAAGCTTCTCAGAATCCAGAGGAACTCTTCAGAATTGATGGGGAAGAAATTCGTGTCGATGATAATGTCGAACATGTCGTCACGGATAATCAAAATGGCTATTCTTGTAAATTATGTTGCAAATTTTATGAACGCAAAGACAAATGTATGGTTCACGTAAAAACACATCTCGGTATAAAACAGTACACTTGCATTCTATGCAATGCTAAATTTGTGTGCAAGTCCGACGTAATGAAGCATATTCGCTGCTCACATACTAATCCCAGGCCAATACAATGCCCAAAATGCCCAAAGAGATTCAAGTCGAAGTTCTATTTAATGGAACACGATAATGTACACAAAGGTGTGAGACCTTATTCATGTACAGATTGTGGTCAGAGTTACCACCACAAAGTGTCGTTACAGATTCACATGAAATCACACTTACCTCCACAAAATCTAGCTTGCGAATATTGTGGCAAAGTGTTTCCGTACCGTACGAGATTATTAAGTCATATAGCTAGTGTACATTTAAAAAATCGTCGCAATTTTAGATGCCGGTTTTGTTACAATCTCTATTCAAGTCTTTCAGTTTTGAATGAACATATTAAAACACGTCATGCGACTACATATACTTGTGAAATTTGCAGCAAAACATTTAAAGTCGTTTCGAAGTATAAAGCTCACGTATTACAGCATTCAAATCCTAAACCGTTTGTATGTAACGTTTGTAATAATAGATACGCATCCAAAGCATTCCTGAACGAACATCTTTTGAAGCATGAAGGGTTGAGGAAACACATCTGTCAAAAATGTGGTGCAAGATTCGCCCAAGCTAGTCATCTGGCTGCACATCGACACGTGCATGGTGAGAAAAAGCATGCTTGTCCGGAGTGCGGACGAAAGTTTAATAGACGTGATAACATGAAAGTACACAGAAAAAGACACTTTGAAGAAAAAAAGACTGGTAATAATAAATTGAAAAGCGTTTCTAGTGGAGACGTAACTTCCACAACGTCTAACGAAAAGTAATAGTACTGACGTAGTTCTGATATTTTTCTAAGGCTATCTTATCTCGTGAGCGAATTAGTACTTTTCAAAAGAGACTTTTAACTCTTAACCGAACAACGTTAATTATTCATACAAATTAATCTGTTTATTACGAGAATGTAAAATATTGCTACAAGAATTAAAAGTAAAAATTTTTTTATTCGCATAGAATTTAACGATATTCGTCGTGATTTAATTAATTTAACGATATTAATTACTAATAAGGTTTACTTTTAAGTTTTGGAGCAACGTATATTATTAGGTGAATGATAGCAATAGCGATCAGTCAGTTTACTTTCTCTTTTGTCGCTCATCTTCTTTTTTTTTCTTTTCTTTTTTTTTTTCTTATTCGCGGTACATTAGCCATTATTTTGTACATAACGTAGTAGGTGTGCATTTAAGAGACTACTGATATCTTTTAAGTATTCTTTCCATTTACATATATTACATTCGAAGATATTTTTGCACGTGAAACATCATCGATTAGAATTTACCAAAGCTGTAATAAAGACAAACCACAAAACATGACAAAACATTGGGGTAAGACTAGACGAAAAAAATAACAAGAATCATGATTGAAATTTATAGTTGTAAGGAAGCCAAAGAATAATATTGGATGCATTGTTATACAAAATTTGTATGTTTACCGCACAGTTAGCTTCCTAAGAAAGTATAATTATTCGTACTGTGAACACAGTCCGAATAGGGCTTCCAAAGTCAAACACCCGACTAAAAAGGGTATAAAAATAAAAAGAATATTTTCTACGTATTTTTACATGGCTATTTATGAATTGCAAAACTTTTAAATGATGCATATGCAAAGTATATTTTACTCTATTTTCGATTCTATTTTACATACAAAACTGTACATGTATAAATAAAGATTTAGCGAAAATAATTCATATAAAAAAAAAATGAATTTTCATGAAAAATATTTTTGATCGATAATAAAAGATTTTTAGATTCGAATGTTAGTCTTCAAGTAATAGAAGAAAGTAGTGTGTGCAATAAATTATATGAGAAAACGTACTATGTGATTTACGAGAAAAATAATGTTAACACTGTATCGGAAGTGCCTTTGGTCGTCTCAATGTATGTTATTCGCATGTTATATAAGAGCATCGATAAATGAAAAAGGCGTTGATGATTCTTTGAGTACGTGTCACGTGCAATTGATCTTGCTTAAGAAGGAAAATAGTCGTAATTCTTTGTGCTCAAATTATCTTACCACGATTTAAAACTTATACTGGATATTTTCAAACGAAATGTTAAATAAAATAATAGTTAAATGATAAAAAAGATTGAACTAGATATAATATAGATTATTCCGTTATTTTTATTTAGAATTTAATAATTTTATACGAAATGGAATTTAATTAATGATAAATTGTCTTTTTAGTTACTATTTTATACAGTGCTTTAAAATAACCAGTATATGTATAATATTTTAAATCTTCTTTTACGCAGTAATATCTCCTATTTGTCTAATATATTTTCAAGATAAGAGTGCAAGGAATTATGTATAAACTACGATTATTACTTTCCCTCGGAACAAATTGTTCACGTGAGAATTGTTAATAAAATCGTGCGAAGGATATTACGTCTAATATTTACACTTTTTCCTCAGATAATATAAATGATAAGCAATAACTCTTATTTTGTACAAGACGTTTGTTAAACCGATCTATTTTTCCATCTATATGTGTATATGTATACTTCTTGATAAAGATAAACGTTAATATGTCATTAATGTGCAGTATGAATTAGCGTATATAATGATTTTTCGACAATAAAGAAAAAAGCATACATTTGTTTAAGGATTCCACAACTTTTCTCAATAAAGGTACGATATTTTTGGGACTGCTGATTATTTGATTTTTACTCTTATTTTTGTCCATACCATTTTTACTCATCTTGCATGTAATTTATTTTTAGTTTGCATGTACGTAAGAGAAATGATTCTATGAGGCTTATTTTAATACTAATAATACCTTTGTAGTATTTTTAAATAATAAAAATTGTAGCATATTATCATTCAATTTAAATTTATTTAAACCTAGCCATTTGGTCTTAAAATAGATTGTTTGTAATTAATAATACAGAATTACAGTATATTTTATAGTTAAAAATAAAGTTTTGTGCTAACTGTAAGGATAATGTTCATTCTTTGGACATAGTTTCTTCTTCTTGTTTCAGGTAAAAGAGAACGATGGACTGCCGCAAATTGTTTGTATGCGATGTTTGGGCACGCTGGAATTTCTATGCGATTTTTACGAACGTTGTCATCTTACCCAAAAGGAACTTTTGGAGACTGTAAGATATAGTAATTTGATATGTTATCTAACTAAAAGCGCGCACCAGTTTGTTTACTTATTAGTAAAGGAAGATACCTCAAAGATAATTTATTATAAGGAATTTTGTTAAAATATATATTTTTTTATTAATAAAAAAATATTATATAGAATATTCAAACATTTTTATTTTTCCTGATTTCACAAAGATATCTTATCTGTATAAAAAATTAAAAATTTGTGTTAAATTATCTAAATAGTGGCATTCAAAATATTTTATTTTTATTTAACAGAGTCAAAATACAATGGATGAGAAGATACAACAAAACAGTGATGAAGAATCAGATAAAGAAAATGCTATTCCATCGATAAATGAAACTAAACAAAAGGCAGAAGTTTTATCACCTGACAATTCAAAGAGTACAAAAAAATATCCTTCCGAAAATAATATGTCGTATTATAGAACTGAAATAAAAGAAGAAAACGCTAATCACGTAAAGAACAATACCTCTACAAATGGTGTTCATTTGGTAACACAAACTACAGTACAACTAAATAAGAGAATTTCTAAAAACCACTCTGTAGTGGATAATGAAAATTCAAATAGAAAAATATCAAAAAATGATCAAAATGATACTAATAATTTAAGATGTAAAAGAAATTTAATAATAAAAAAAAATAATACTTTGAGAAAGACTGCAATCCGTACAAGATCAACAAATGACTTGAATTCATCACAAAAAAATAAGACTAACATTAGTATAAATTTAGATTTGCCTGTACGACGCAAGAGAGGTCGGAAAAGTAAGTTAGAAAAGATGAGAGAAATGAATTTAGCTGCAAGTTTTAAAAAAAATATCCAAACTGATTCAAGTGACAGAATGACTGAGAATCTTAACAATGAATACAAAAGGCGTTGTTTGCGTACAATTTGTACTAACAGTAAGTCTAATAATATAAGTAATAATGCTTCAATCTCGTCAAAACTACAAGTTAGTCAAACAATAGCAAAGGAAAAGGTGGTAGTAGTAAACACATCATTAGACATAGATTATACCAAAGGCAATGAAACTAATACTATGTACAGTGACAATATAGTAACTAATAAAGTAATAGAAATAGGACCTGATAGTAAAAGTACAGTAAAATCTAACAAATGTATGGAAAATACAAAAGACAAATCTGCAAAAGATAAAGCAATATCAGTTATTGTAAAGCAGGAAAAAGAGGAGACAGAAAATACTTCTATTAGACAGAATGAAAAGTCAAACCAGCATGTTTGGATTTCTAGTGAGATACAAAAGGATAAAAATACAGTGGAGAGTCAAGATCAAAATCAAATACATCAAAAAAAGACTAATTTAACACAGACAATCTCTTCAGAGACAAAGGGAAGTAAAAGTTCTAAAAATACTGAGATTAATTTGGCAGGACAAAATTCTGACATAGAAACTCATTCTACCTCTACCAACCTACATTCAAAAGTATTTACAGAACAAAATCGCGTGACAGTTATAAAATCTTCACAATCCAATGAAATATCAAATCCAAAGATGATGCAAGAAGATTCTACAGAATTGTTCATTGCAGTGGACATAGGAAACCAAAGTACCGAAAGTGAATTAAAATGCAACCTCAGCGAACAATCACAATCTCAACAATTTAGTCAAGATAGTTTTGATGGTACTAAGTGTAAAGATAGATCATTTGGTAAAATCTCTGAATTGATAAGCGATGAACAAAAACAGACTATTGAAACTTATTACACAGTAGATATGTCGATTGTAAACTCGGAAGAAGTACAGAAAAATATAACGATAGTTAATAAAAAAAATATACGCTGCAATATTTGTGGTACTTTTTATCTTAGAATGGATAAATGTCAGGCAAGTTTAAGAAATTATTTGTATTGCTTATAGAAAATTATTTAGATTTATAATAACATACATAATAATGCATAAAGTTGTTTGTTATAGGTACATATCTGGGGACATTTACAAATGAAACCCTATCAATGCAAGGCTTGTGACTTTGCTACGGTTACTGTTAGCAATGTTCGTTGCCATATCAGGAAGAGTCATCTAAAGATTAAACCATTTGCATGCCATCTTTGTGAAAAGCGATATGTAACTGCTATTTTACTAGAAGAGCATATTAATACTCATACAGGTGCCCGTCCATATAAATGCAAGCTCTGTGATTTTGCAAGTTCTAGTAGACAAATACTAAGTTACCACAATGCCACACATAAACCACTAAAGGTACTACCAATAAAATTATTTGCTATATCAAAGAACACGTTTTTATTAAATTAACTCATTTTATCGTTTCTTTCTAAAATTATTTTAGGATATTAATTGTAAACTTTGTGGCAAAGAATTTTATTCAAAAAGTAGATTGCGTGCACACATGATTGTACACAATAAGGATAAAGCTGTTATGTGTAAATTATGCTCTGCTTATTTATCTAATACAGAAGCATTAGAAACACATCATAGAAACATTCACATGCAAGATTATGTATGTAATATATGTGGCAAACACGTTAAATCGAGAAAAGCTTTGCACAATCATCAGAATGTAAGATATTTGATACTATAATCTATCTAAAATTAATTAGTTATGAATTAAAAATTTTGTTTACAGGTACATGCTGCTGCAAAATACAAATGCACTCTATGCCCAAATGTGTATAAGAGTAGTCAAATATTAAAAGAACATCTTCTAAAGCATGAAGGTATTAGAAAGTATAAGTGTAATGTTTGTGGAAAATCATTTGGTCAGCAGTCTCATTTAGCTGCTCATATGGCAGTACATAGTAAAATTAGGTAAGTTTCTAATTATTTTTGTTACAGTTCCTTTTTGATATTATTTAGTTATAATATATTTTACTTGTAGATTCCATTGCCCAGGATGTGATAAACCTTTTAATCGACAAGACAATATGAAGATACACACTAAACGATGTAAACTATTTTTAGCAAATCCAGATTTAAAAAATCTATTAAGTAAAAGAGAACGAACTATATCGTTTAATAATATAGCAGAGTTAACGGCAGAATTGAAGAACGGAAATATGACAAATTCTGGGTCTCAAGTTTCTCTAAAAGATCAGAATAATGGAACGTTAGCAAAAACTGTGGAAGGACAAAAAAAGACTGCAATAAATCTCTGCAAATTAGGACTGAACATCTCTTGCATCGAACCAATAGATAAAACGTGGAATTCTGATAACATATACAATGAAAAAGAAGCTACAAGATCTGCTGAAGTTAATATAATTAAGTTTCCAAATGTCAATGATAGATTAGTTTCAGATACTGAAAATATATCAGTTCTTGAAAACGTTTTAGAACCAGAAAGCTATTAACAGATTTCGATAAGTGCATGAATGAACTTAATTGATTTGGAACAATCTTAATTAAGTATCTTAAAAATCAATGACAACAAATTATGAAATTAAAAAATTTGTTGAAATCGTTACATGATTAATGAAGTTCATTAATTGAAAGTACTTAAAGTTCAATGAATACAAAAACAATTTTATAATTGATGCATTTAAATAATCATTCCTACATTTTATTAAGCTAAGATTTTAATTAGAATTTAAGGCTTAATATTAGACGATATTTTTATAACGAAAACATATATTATATCTTTTCACGTTCAATTATAAATTAGATTGTATAAAAATCGATTTGTACGGACGGTAACTTTAATTGTTTATATCTAAAACAATATTTAATTTTGTTCGTCGTTATTTCATTTTTCGTGCATTTCGATTTTTTTCTAAAGAGTTACTTACCTCGTCTTGATGAAAATTTAAATTCTACGACCAAAGAAAACTTTACTATTATAAACCTGTTATTTTTTTATTTAACAGAGCAGTGTTTCATCAAGGTGAAACGGGATACTCTTACGCTTATTCACTCATAAATAAAGAGATAAGACTGATAATCGATATATATTTAAATTTGTAACTAGATGTTTCTATTTAAAGCAGTTAGGCCTCAAAAGTTTATTCATTCATATGGGAAAAATCTTTAAAATTTTTGTCGTGATTAGTAGTCCTATGGTAACAAATTTTTATATTGTTCAATTTTTTAAATCAAAATGATAAGTGAAACAAAATATTTGCCATTTAAATCAAATGAAGTATTAAAAAGAAAAAGATAAAAATGTTGTATTCTTCATTTAACACATCCAATACATCCTAAAAATTTAATTTATGAAAATTACTTGTATAAATTCCGATATTTAAATACTGTTTAAATAATGTGTTTAGTAGAGTTTATCTTAATTTAAATATTTATAATTGAATTTTCAAACTAAAATTTATTATTTAATTTATTATTAGAGAGCAAACTAATAAGAAAAGAAGAAAGAGGACGATTGACTTGAGTGAAAGTCTGTTAACCTGAATTCCTGTTAAATTCTTTTTCAGGTTTCATTCAACCGCAACATTGCTTTCGTCAGTTGTACGTTCTATTTCGTCGCGTAAACATCTTTATTAGAGAACATATAATTTTTTAATTTTGTAATGCGTTAACAGAAACCCATATTTATTTATTTTTTAGTAAGTAATCACACTTAATTATGAATTAGAAATAAATATGTCTTTTTTTAAATAAACAACACTAATTTATTTTAAACTTCGACATTAACATGCAATTTTTAGAATATTTGATTTAAATTAAATAAACAAAATTATTTCGGATTCTTTTGTAATATGTCATGAAAATTTTCAGTTTTTTAATCAATTTTAATTATTTATAATAATTTAGAAAAACTTTTCAAGAGATATAGATATTCATGTTTCCTCTAGTCAATATATCGATTAATTGAAGTTGATCTACAGACTGACAGTTCGATATTTAAAAGAAAAAATACAAAACGTAACTCTTTTTTCGCGCGCTTTGACTAATGGAAGAATTGAATCATAGAATTATTGATGTTTAAATTCATTATTATACAAATAAGAACTTCTTTATTACTTGAATTAAAAACAGAATAAAAAATTATTTTATATTCTAATTTTTTTTCGATATTTGAATCATTAATGGTTTCCACAGAGAAATTTACCTATGAATCACCACATAATATTTGTGAAGGTGCAAATATTAATTTTATTAACAAAAATTATGTAACAAAATGAGAATAACAATACAGAATACAAAATATTGTTATTTTACAGTTCAACTTTTTACATGTTACGTTAACATATTCTTTTATATTTTTAACGGTGCTTCTTTATATTTAATAATTCGTTCTCTAATATAATTAAAGTTGCGTTTTCTTCTTTATAATTTCTATGTCATTTTTATCTTTACATTGTGTTAAATTAATTAATTATAATTAATTATAGGTACAAGGAAGTATCGTATAACAATAATCGTATAATCTTTAATAATAATAGTTATTGATGTTCTGAGGATTGATTGATGTTCTATGCGATACAGAATTAATTATTAATTACATATGATTCTCTATTATTTACCGTAAACCTATTAGTCATTCCTTATATTTTTATTGACTTATAATTTATTGCAACAGGAAATACGCAAAGATGACCCTTGAACCACCAAAATATGAATACTTAAATGAAGAAGATACGAAAAAAATGTTAAAAATATTTAAGGGTGAAAGAACAGGTTGGGTGCTCGTAGGTCCTAAAAAATGGTTTTTTCCACATAAATATACAAAAGAAGGTAAAGGATTTTATAACTTTAAAGCAAGACCAGATGACACTTGGGTTTTATCTTATCCAAGATCAGGTGAGTAATGTGCTTTTAAACTTTTGATGTAACCATAATGTAATTGTTATTCTTAATTCAATTTAAAAATAAAATATCAAGAATAAGAAATTTAAATGCTTGTTTGCGCATGACAATGTAAACGATACAACTCGATTATTTCGGTTATCGATATTTTTATAAATACAAATATTAAGATAAAGTATAATGCAACTAGTTACTTGTTTTTAAAATAACTTTAAAAATTTTGCATCCTCTCGCTCCTTCTTAGGTACAACGTGGACTCAAGAATTAATCTGGTTATTGTCAAATAACTTAGATTTCAAAAGAGCAAGGACAGTACTCTTATCGGAGCGATTTCCATTCCTCGAGTTAGTATAATTAAATATTATATTTGGGCTAAACTAAATTAATTAAATATCACAAATCATAAGATATATTAAAACTCAATTTTTATTGATAATATAATAACTTTAAAAGTTTGTTATATATTTTTGTGGAACGATAGTTCATAAAATAACAATGCTAATACTTATATAATTTTTAAAAGCTAATAGTTATATGAGTATGTCACCCGTGAAAAATTATAGTTTATTCGCAATTAATGTACGATATTTCATAATCAACATTGCGTGCAAACGACTTACAACTATACAATTAGTAAGAGATATAGAACATAACAACTTATCTTATGTTTTCCAATAAAAAATCTTGAGCAAAAAAATTATAAAACTATAATGTTTTCATGATTAAAATTTAAAATTACACAGAGATAAATTAATATATAGTAGATATTGTAAAACTATATTTTTACATAACAAAAATTATTAATATAGCTACAAATATAATCTCTAGATTTAGTATGTTTAATCACCCAGAACTAACACATGAAATGTTAAAAATAAATGAGGGAAATAAAGACAAAGAAGAATTGTGTAAAAAAATTGCAGAATCAGGGTATGAAGTTATAGCAAAAATGCCTTCTAAAAGATTTATAAAATCACATTTTCCATTTAGTTTGTTACCTGATATTCTGAAAAGTGGTTGCAAGGTAAAATTATACTTATAAAAATGAGTTGTATCATTTATTGTTAATATAATTCTAATAAATCATATTGTTTCATAAAAGATAGTATATGTTGCAAGAAATCCAAAAGATGTTGCTGTTTCTTGGTATTATTTAAATAAAGCAATCAAAACTCAAGGATATACAGGTGATTTTGCAACATTTTGGGATTATTTTCAAAATAATCTTAGTAAGTATTACATAAATTTCAAATTATTAATATGAAACATTTTTATATACAAAATACAACTTATATTACACAAAATTTGTTAGCACCTTGGAGTCCTTATTGGGAACATCTGAAAGAAGCATGGTTACATAGAAATCATCCAAATGTTTTATTTATGTTTTATGAAGAAATGCAATATGTAAGTCAAAATGAATATTTTATAAAATGAAATATTTTAAAAAGATTACTTTGTGTTCGGAACTTCTCTTATTTGTATATCGTAGGATTTTCCGAAAGCAATTCAAAAAGTTTCAAAATTTCTTGGAAAAACTTATACTCAAAAACAGATAGAAGAAATAACAGACTATTTAAATATTAAAAATTTCCGAAATAATCCAATGGTGAATTCTTCAGAATTAAAGGAATGTGGTATTATAACACCAGGAACATATGTTAGAAAAGGTCAATGTGGAGGATGGAAGGAAATATTCACTAAAGAACTTAATATTAAAGCTGATAAATGGATAAAAGACAATTTAAGAGGAACTGATTTTGATTTTCCACATTTTACCATTAATAATAACCACAATTGATATAGTGTGTAGCTACATATATTATACAACTAATCCATTTAATATTATTTTTTAGTAGCTTTTTAAAACTTAAAACATTGTATGAAATGAAATAAAAAGTATTGTGTTTATTATAAGTATTTTTATATTAAAGGAAATAACATTCTTTATATTATATTAGAATATAAATAAATAAATTTATTGCATGAAGTTTATTACAGTTTATAAAGTAATACGATATATAAAAGAAAAAAATAAGTATTATTGTAAAATTATAGTTTTATTGAATTAGTTTTTGTACAAACATTTATACGAACAATCACAGTAGTTCTAAATGCATGACGTAATTCTTTTTCTACATAATATGATAAGCATTTAATTTTAGCAGCTTTTGCTTTCAGTAAAGATTTTACAAAACGTTGTTTAGGGCAATTTAATGTTACATAGGCATTGATAGTACCATCATCACCTATAGTGAAATGTTCTATTTCTATTTTTACTTTGTATGGCATATCATGTGGAAGTATATCTAATAATTTAGCTCTAACTGTTTGTTCTGTTATAGTTTCAATTTGTTGATCAGTATAATATTCCTCTTCATATTTCCAATCTTTAATTTTACTTGAATCAAGCAGATAATTCTACAACATATATTTAAATGCAGATATAAATATTAAAATATAACATATAATAATCATTAATAACTAATAGTATTACAATATTCATTATATATTACCCGAAGATCATTTACACCATCTCCAGTAAGTGCAGATACCATAAAAATATCATTAAATTTTGGGTAATTTTTATTATTTATTATCATCCTTGTAAGATTGAGTAATGATTCCTTTTTCTTCAATTTATCTACTTTATTAAAAATCATCAATAGTTGTGTATCTTCTCTTTTATTATTTATATAATCAAGGATAAAATTATCAATTTTATGTCTAGTATAGATATTAGTTACATCTTGTATTATTCCAATAATATCTGCTTCATTGACTGCAGTTTCAGGATCTTTTTTGAATGTTTTTGATAGTTCATATTTTTTTATTTCGTGAGAATTTACTAATCCAGGAGTATCTATAAATACAATTTGTGTATCTCCTTCTGTATATATTGCTTTTGCTTTATGTAACGTAGTATGTACTTTTGAAGATGTAGGACAAACCTATTAATCAAAAACTTCTTTTTAATTAGAACTATTAAATAAAAACATTGTTTTTAAATAAACAAAAATATATACAGATCTGTGTATAAGTTTATTTATTAATGTACTCTTCCCAGCATTTGGTAAACCTAATATTGCAACATTCAACAGTTTTTTATTTTTTTCGTGTAATTTTGTCTCATCGTTAAATTGTGATGTAACACTTTCTTGATTGTTAGCATTTAGAATAACAGAGTAGAAAAAGGATCGTTTTAAAAAATATACATTATTGTGCACCACATACTTTCTAATTGAGAATATCATTGTGAATACCTATATTGTTTAATAGAATCATTAACAGCATTAACATTAATAACAAATAAAAAAGTTGATAGGTTAAATTAACGTAAATATAAACTTGTAAAAGTTAATTTGCTAGCGATATTAATTTATCGGTTTACAAAAATATTATTTTTACGTTATACAAATATTACTATTATTCAAACATTACTTTATCAAAAATATTTTAAATGTAATTTAGCAGTAATATGTCAATATAAAAAAGTAAGTTGTCGATTGATTATACAGTTAAATCATATATACGTAGTATTTGTTCACAAAAATCTTTATTAACTTGAAATTTTAAACAATAAATATATATAAAACACGTGGTATTTCTTTTTATTTTTACAAAGGATATAATTATTTATTATTTATATAATACAAATCTTTTATGTTCATATGACACCATATAAAAAAATAAAAATTAAAAGATAATAAGAAGCAAAACTACAAATGGATTATAAAATAATAAATTTTTCATGTAATAAAAGAAATCGTTCATTTTGAATCATTTTATTTCAAAAGATTATTTTTTTATATCAAACTTTAATCATGCATTAAATATATACCTACACGCTTCATTGGGGTTGGTATACCTGATTTTAAATTGACAATGACAAAAATCAAGCTGCAATTCAGTCATGTATTGACGTATATTATGCGAATAAGGATTGTTGTTAGGTGTACGTTAAATTTGTGTATAATGTTTATTAAATGTAATTGAACTTTTTAATCGAATGAAATAGAAATTTATTATTATTAAATATTTCAAGCATTTTCTTTATAAATGATGAGTATTAGAAATGCGTTGATGCGATGCATCGATTTAAAATGTACTGGCAATGGTACTTGAAGTAGAACCACTCGCAAGCTTGTTGTGAAGACATTTATGAAAGTGATAAAGGAAACAAAATTTTGTATAGTAATTGATTTTCAAAAAATTCCATAAATAGCAATAGATCTCTAAAATTATTCAAACAGAGCATGCATTTCTGGATTAATAAACCGGCGGGCAGGTATTACGGTTTTACTGGCCGCCGATACCCCGCCACACCTTTACCAAAGACACGCTTCAGTAAGATAATTCAATATATTTTCAAATTCTTCTCTTTGTTTGATATTCAAATAAATTTATTATCTAGTACTGACAAATATTTTTAAAGATTTTTTTAAATCTAAAAAAACACTAAACTATTTATTTTAATAAGTAAATTAGAGAAATGTTTAACGATTTATTGCTTATATTTATTATGTTTACAGATCAATGTAGATACAATGCAGATTTGAGACAAATGGTTACTTCACTTCATCGATTCCAAAATTTGAATGCTATGGGAAATATAGCTAGTTCTAGTAATATGAATAGTTGCAGAGTGATAAGAACAACAATAAGACCAAACAATGAAATACAAAACAATTTTCCAGTTGGCTCTACTCAACATTCCCAGCTAAACAACATCTCCAAGTAATTAAAGAAAAAGGTCTACTAAGAGGATTCTAAGGAACATGTTCTTCTTATATACAGGGTGACTCACTTATACATGTCTATCACCAGAAAGTATTTATAAATGACTCGCCCTTAATGATGGATTGTTGCAAATAAGGATATGGATGTTCAAGTTAGTGTAATGAAAATAACAATCAGAATATCAATCCTTTTTTATGTTTACAGCAATGTAACAACTGCTGGAAATAATCAATTAATATTGTCAAATACTACACCAAATGTAACAAATAGAAGTCTTCTAGATTTTTCTGAATTTAATGATGCAGAACTTGCAAGTTATAAATTACGATGTGGTGTTTGGATAACATTTGTATTTGCAACAGGATTTGTTGCTGCTGCAAGATTTTATTTTGGTGATAGAGTAAGCTGAAACTAAAGCATTTTTTATAAAATGAATATTTTAACTTTTTTATATAACATTTAAATCCTTTTATAACTAATACTGAACATTTTCTCACTAGGATCAAAGTATAGAAATATTTGTATTTTGGGGTCTATTAACATTATCATTATTTGCATGTTTATTCTCTATTTTGTATTGTCGAAATCAACGCAACAATCATCAAGAGCATCAAATTCAAGAAGAGCATATTGCATCTGTAACTGCTACAACTACAATGGCCAATGAAAATATTAGATCTATTTCTACAGTAAGACAGAATCCACCACCACCTTATCATATTGCTATTTTGATTCCACCAAATAATTCATCAGATGAAGCTCCACCACCGTCTTACGACAAGGTTATGCGATAAATTAATATTATTAGATTAATATAAAGTTGTATAAAATTCTATCACTATTTTTTCATATACTACATTTTTTAAACATGAAATGCCAATACTCGATATCATTGCGTGATGATATTATTACTAATTATAAGTATTTCATCATCGAGCTTTTGATTTGTGCAAACAAAGAAATGAGACAAAGTTAATGAAGGTATTAACACCTTTTCTAGGCTAGGTAAACTTTACATCTGTGATACAAATAGTGAGGTAATATCAGTGTCGCTCTTGATAACATTTGCACTTCAAAGAAAGCATAAGAATACTATTGTGGGCATTATATAATATCTGAGCCAAAAAATAAACGTGATGTCCGCGATACTTTATGTTCACTGCAACACAAATATGTATTTTCCTTTTATATACTTGAATAAATGCTTACAGTTTATTTAAGAAAAAAACAAATGTATAAAATAATTTACTATGTGGAAAAAAAAAAATTTTCTTCCATAAAATATTAGCTAAAACTATTAATTACAAAATATTAATAATAAGAGAAAGCGATATATTACAATTCAACTGTATTTCATACAAAGTTAATATATATATTTATTTACAATATAAAATGACTTTATGCAATAAAATAAAATTAAAATTTGAAATTGTAGACAAAAGAAGGTTGATATAAAAACTTTTGATTTTTTCCACAGTCTATCAAATTTAAAATAAATTTGAAATCTTTTATCATGAATTAAAATACACTAATTATATAGTATAGTAATTAATAAAAACATAGGTTAAGCACTATATGTGTTTTATAATACTTAATTGTATACTTGTACATAATATAAATAAATGTATACATACATACACGATACGCATAGATTTTTATGTTCAAATTTTTGGCTATGATGGAAACTGAACTAATATATAATTTTATATATTTTTTTTCTGTTAATATTGAGATTGTTTACATATGTAAATGATATTTCATAATAATTTTGTTTTGTATTTGAAACAAATTTATATAATATATTATATAGAATATTATATCTAATACTTATAACTAACAATAATTTGTAAGCTATACTTTTACATATCAAAATGTAATTTAAATCAAGGAATATTTTATTCAATTGTTTGTTTTATTAACTCTTCAATTTGATATACTAAACACATTACAAATTACTAAGCTACACTACACTTGTATAGTTTTATCATGAATATAATTATTATGTATAGGTGTTCATTTTTTATGCATAACATGGTTCAGTATCAAGTTATTAAGATATTCATATTACATATTAAAAGATATATAACTAAGATTGTGTAATTGCACCAGTATATAAATAATGTATATGTACAGAAATATAAAAAGCATAAAAATCTTGGACTTTTAAATAATGTTATTCTTTTTATATGGTTTTATGTATATCTACATTATGAAAGTAAAATATTTTTATGAAAAATAGTAGCATTAATAAATTAATTTGTTAAATATTTAAAGTTGAAATAAAACAAAAATTTATACATATATATATTTACTAAAAAAGAAATTACTTTTCTAATTAACTGTGTTGGTAAATAAACAAATTCGTTTCTTTTTTTATGTAAAAATATGATATAGTTGGTTTATCTCAAAATAAGAAGTTATAATGGATAATATTCATAAATTTAAATGTTTTATTATGCATTAAGAAGCATGAATTATTAAGTTGTCTTCCAAGAATATAACTGCTACTATACAGATGTACAAAACCAGTATTTTACTCTTAGTAAATATGTTCTGATACGCTCAACGATAAGAAACAAATAAGTAAATAGTACTTTTTTAATAAAAGAAAAATGTTTTAAGAAAAAAAAAAAAAAATATTACTAATTAAGTGAATATGAATTCGATTTAACAATTTTTTTATTAGTAAAAATCCAGAATTGTAATACTACATTATCATAGTTAATCTCATAATTAATACTTGTAAAATCAGTTTTGTAATTCTGTGAAACAGATTTGTAAGAAAGACTACACTTGTAAAAATGTTATTCATTACTTAATGAAATAATAAAGCTTTTTATTACCCAGTGCAACTTATAATAAGAACAGATTACTGAGATTTCTTTTTTCATAAGATGGAATGATAGTTCTTGTAAGAATAATATAGAAATTTCAGTGTTAAAGCTAATAATAATTTGCTTGGTAATGTGTACCGCGTTTAAACTCTTTGGATTTCAAATAACTTTACATCAGTATCATACCAAATCGGTGGTTCGACATTTCTTAGGTATATTACGCCCCACATATATGTTCTGAACCATGCAGTTGTTCCAGCATTTGCTTGGTATCTCCTGATAAGGATAGGGTGTGGTACTGGTAATAAGCCAACTAATGTACCATGTTGTAAAAATTTCAAAATTTCGCTTTCATCTGTAAGACCCCTAAAAAATTTTAAAAAGATAATTATATCTTTATAATTAGAATAAACTATACAAATCAAGCATATTAACAAATTATACTCACTTATCAATGCATATTTTTTCTACTTGAGGTACAAGAACTTGAAGCAATCGCATAATAGTTTGCAGTGGAAGTTTACTTTTCCATTGATATACCCATTCACTGGAAGGGACCCACTGATTTACATTATTAGGAGAATTCATATGTTCTGCCACCCTAATTCCTCCTTTCTATTTAACCAATAAAGTAATGCATAGATAATTTATAAATGTAAAAAAAATTCAATAATTATTTACACCATAATAGTCTTACTGGTATAACAGAGTTTTTAGTAGAATTCATTAAATCTTCTGTAGCGCTCACATTGTTTTGATGATTAGATTTTCCTACATCAATATTTACTGAAGGACTCAATGGATGTGCAGACTCTTTTTCAGTCATTTTTTCAATACCTTTGGAAAAATTAATCGTAAAGAAGAGCTGTAACTTCGACTTTTAAATAACATATAAAATAACAAAAATTTACCAGGGGTTTCTAATAAAGTTGCTTTCAATGTTCCAGGTTCTGCAGGTTGCGCTGGATGCGAACCTTCCATTGCTGCTTCATTAACATTTTCATTAGATGTACTAGCAGGTACATGTCGACGTTGTCTTTTACTGAGAGATTTCGCGATCGTGTTACAGTCACTTGGTAAATTTGCTAATGTGTGAAAAACTTGCCTTTTGCGTATTATGGTATAAACCAAGTTACTGTTTCCATCAAATTGATACTAATAACATACATAGTTTTTCAAATTTTCTTTCTTTCCTAAATTTAAAAAATTCTCTTTTCAATGTATATAAAAGTTACCTGAATGATATTATTAAAGATTTCCAAAAGAACAAATACTAAATGATGATTGGTAGGTGCTGAAAATAAAAACCATGGAGTGCTAAATGCTTCGAGTAAATGTAGCAATTTAGTACTAGCCACCATTGATAAAGTTTTAAGGTACGGAGATACATTGACTAGAATTGTTAGTAAACAATCAAATAATGGCTGCAATCTTTGGTGCCCAGTTGTGATTATTTTGTGAAAAACAGTGACTAACAAGTCAGCATGTGTACCTACAAATATTTAATAGTTAGATATTATTTTAAAATGGGATTAATATTACAATACCTGTAAAAACAGGAATGTCCATAGGTACTGTAGCTGTATATGGTTTATTTAGTCTAACGCCAAAGTTACGTTCTCCACTCAACAAAAGTAAAATAAATACACCAATATGCATCAATCCAACACGAGCTACAAAATTATGCTGTATTATTATACATAATAAGATTATTTGTTTTTATTTAGTAAATTTTATACGTTATAAAAATTTACATTGATCTGCTCGTGAATCATTTAAATGGTACAATATGGGTACCAATACTTCAAGAACATCTGAACTTTTTAGTACATAATATAAAAACTTTTTATTGTAGTCACACATTTTCCAAAAAAACACCAATAATTCTTGGTGAAAATGTACTTTCTTAGTTGAATTTGGTAAGTAAGTTTGCATTAATGGATTGTTTAATAATCTGGTGATACCTTTCAACACAAACTGAAAATCTAAAAGTAAGTTTTTTAGAAATTATGCTTTTATTCAAATATTTATTTAAAATGTATCCAATTAAATACAACGGCAAAATTTTATACCTTCATCGCGATGAATCCGACTTAAATAATTAATGAACAAATTATCTCCAATACTTCCTTCTTCTAACGGAGTACCACCACTAGTATCATGATCTAGTGTTACTATAAGGATTTGTAATGCAACATCAACTAGTGGTTCTAATGAATCAGTAAATAATAAGTGATTATATGGTACTCCAAGTCCAACAGGATCATATGCACATACTGTATTTAACAATGATGTGAACATAGGTAAAACATGTCTGTATTAAAACAAAAACATTTTTACTAAAATATAAATATTTTTACTAAAGTATAATAGTAGTTAATATTAGAAAAAACAATTTTGATTTACCTGTTTTCAGAACTGGTTAAATGCTGGATCCAACGGTTTGGAGTAATTGAAAGATCTAGAGGGGGATTATACATAGTTTCACTAAAGCAAGTGAGTAATAATTTTAGTAATTCGGTTCTATTTGAATCTAAAATTGGATATCTGGGTGGTGAATGTGCAAATCCTACACCTGCTTCCCAAATATATTCACAGCTATCTATAGATTGTAGTTCTTCTGCTTTATCCTAAATAATTTCAAATACGTCTATAATAACTTTTTGCAATTGCCAAAATTGTTATATAAAAGAATACTTACAGGACCAGATTTTCTGTTTGCAGCTATTGTAAAGTCAGGACAAAATAGCAAGTCCTAAAATACAGATATGAATTATAATAATGTAACATGCTTAAAAATTTTTTTTTTTTTCTAAATCTCACACATCTTACACAGAGTGCATTGAGTAAAGAATGAGCCAATGGTACACTTTCTTCATCTTCTTTACCAGGTAAACTAGACCAAAAAAATCCTTTCCAATCCGGATCTTCAAAGATATAAGGTAATAATCGTGTTAATAAACGGCAACAATTCAAAACTGTTTGTTGTTCTCTCTGTGTTCTACAACTGTTATCAACTGCTTTCACTAACTTCTCCACTGCTTTATAACATAACGTAGCTAAATTAGAAGGTGCTTCTTCCCTTAATATACGAATTTCAGGTGCAGGAATTAAAGTAAAGATATCTTGTACATTAGTCACATTTTCAGACCAAAATTGATCCCAAAAATTATCATCTGAAGCATCGATTATCTATAATTAAAAGCAGAGTTTGTCTTTTAACCTAAACGATAAATCGTAATTATTTAAAAACTTTCATAAAATTATGGGAGACGTAAAATTGAAATTATTTGATAAAAAATGATATATGAATATTAATTTAAGTCACAAATGATGTAAATAGTAAAAAAAATTGTATCTGTCTCGATGTACCGAAATGTCAAACATATCATATGCTGTTACATGAAATAATAAACATCAGTTTTTACCTGTGTCTTTGATGTCAGTTGTACAACTGCTTTCCGAAAATTTAGTTTTGTGTCAGCATTTCCCATGTTGTTTTATTTTTTGTTAATTTAAATTGAAAAGTTTAGTGGTAAAATATAAAAACGACTTGTTTCCTTTTACACCAGAATGACGTCGGTCATCGCCATGTTTATGTCGTAATAGGCAGTGTTACCAATAGAAGTTTTTTCTTTATTATTTTAATTGTAATTTTATTATTGTGATGATTTAATTAACATAAAGATTATAGAAAAAAATGTGACATATTTTTTAATAAAAATGTTATTTAATTTTAATATTTACAAATCACAAATTATTAATATAAGTATAATTAATAGCCTAATAAGACTTTATTTTATTATCATATTCACATAAAAAGCATTAAAAACTAAAATATTTTGTTTCGGAATTCTATAACTATTCTTATATAACAATATATTAAAGAAAAATTTATTTTCTATATTTTCCTTGTATCCATACTCTGTACATTTTAAGTTGCTTCCCCCTATTAATTTGTAATCTTCTATCTACAAGATTTTGTTTTTCTGTAAAACCACAACTTGTAAATAATGTTCTAACTTCTTCTGTAAATAGATATTTTATTTATTTATTCTTTAAAATAAATTAAATTCACTAATATAAAAATAAGAAAAGTATTAAATAAAATACCTTGTGTAAAAAAATATACTCTTGTTCCATCTCCTCGAACATAAAAATTTTTTGCAAGGCAACTACCTTTCTTAAATCTTAATTGAGCTAAGTCATATCTACCATAATCTCGAAATAAAACTAATCCACCAAATTTTAAATATTTGTAAATTTGTCGAATAACATGCTTTATCCTGCAAGAATATAATATTTCATTACATTTGTATCTTTAATTGTAAAAACATATATATTTAATATAATATTTACTTTTCAGGATGTATAGCTGAAAGAACAAATACCAACACTATAATATCCAAACTTTCTGGTTCAAAAGGTGTTTCCCAATCATTTTGAGTTACATCAAGAACAAATGCTTCACACCTTTGAAATAAATATAAATGTCTTATCTATTACTGTTTTAGCATATTATGTCAAAATATAATAAGTTTTATACCTGGATATATCATAACTAGGATTTTGTTTCAAGATATCTATTGCTTTTGTAGAAAAATCACAACAATATACAAATAAGTTTGGATCTGTATTATACAAAAGTATTGGAAATACTGTGTTTCCTACACCACAACCAATTTCTAGAATTTTATTTCCATTATTACTGGGTAAATCAAGGATTTTTATATGTGTTTCTTGAACATTTTCATTTGTGCTTTCAGTCATAGACCTCAAAGGCTGTTTAATATTTTGATTTATAATAACTACAGCTAGCTCTGGGAATTCTGTAAATAACCAATGTCTATCTTTGAAAAATCTGCAACATTGAAAGTAACATTTTTTTCTTATATGCATTTAAAGTAGTTACAAAATTCATAATTGATGTGTTATGTACTTATTTTCGTGTATTCCATAAAACTTGTCCCAATATTTATCAGCCTTACATTCATATTCTTCAATTTTTTCTTCTGATAAAATTATAGTTGAATTTTCATTTACTTTTTGTTGTGCTAAGTTCTGTTGCTCCTCATCCCATATAACATTGTCCCTTTAAATTGTAAAATAATAGATAAGTAAATATATTAAAATTTGATATAACGAATGAATTATTTCTTTAATTAAAACTGATGTTTTTAATCCATAACAATAATTTCATTCAAAAGGTTATATTTTATAGGTTAAGGTTTTATAACCCTAGTATTATAATTGTGTCCATTAAATATTAAAATAAAGTATATATATACCAAGCGTTATGTTGAAATACATTATCACCGCTCGAAAGAATTCTGCTACCAAATTGTGGTCTTTTAGTATTTGTTTCATTTTGCTCTGAGTTTGATACATTTTCCGCCATCTTTATATCACGTGCTTCTAAGAAACACGTATAAGGACACATACAGTATTATTAAAGGCGAGTGATATGTTAGACAAATCATAACAAAAATAAATTGATAAAATAATAATAAAAATGATAATATAACTAAATACATTATTATATAATATTTAAAAACTTTACGAGAAAACAATGCAATTAATTTATAAAATACTAGAGTTATTATTTGAAATATATAATGTTAGTATAAACAAAATGGTTATTTTTATGACACATTTTTTTTAAGTATTTAAAACTTCTTTTTTCACAAATCGTGATAAATATTCTAAATATCTTAAGTATAATAGTACCCTTGCAGATCAACGACCTAGGAGACAGATATAGGTTGAGGGCACGTGGTATGCGGAAACAGGATGGGTGTGACGCAGAGGGTGCAGGTTGAGGGTGGTATGTTGCGTCATTGGATGATTGGTACCACAGGGACGACCGTACGATTACATTTACCTTTTTCCATCTGGAGACCAATATCATTAAAAAGATATAATAACTATATGTATTATTCGTGACATTCCTTGATACGAATATGTAACATATCAAGTAATGATATATAGGTATTAACAGTTGTAAGTACTGAAACAATACAATTCTTTATACGATCTAATATCAAATGGATGTCAAATCTTTTATAACATTTTTCATTGTCACTATTAAAACAAGCAATATTTTTCGAACTATTAAAATTAATAAATAAATTAGATATGTTAAAGCGTGTATAATTACATAAAAACTCTTTCTCACAGGGTATGATAAGTTATTTGTATTTCCAATAATATATTTTAAAAGATTGAACTAATTTTGTCTGTTAAAAGGAAAATTAATTTATATGATAAAAATATGATATATAATCACTAAAAGACAATAATTTGAAAGTAAGTATTCCGTGGCAACATGTTGCTAAGGGCTACAGGCTTCTTCTTCCGCTACTGCATGATGCTTCATGGTTCGTCGTGGGTGGCTACCGTGATGTCCTAATCCCACCAAGTCCCTAGGGGTGAGATCGATACATCCATTTCTCTTTTCCTCATGTTTTCACGGGGGTTAGTACTCATTGATTTCAACCGACTTAAAAGAAACTTGAGAAAGATGAAATCGAACCTTTCCCTTACAGACTTCTTTTTTTAAAGGTATGAAAAAAAAGAAATAAAAATATACTAAGAAATTAGTATATAACATAACATTTGAAGATATTAATGTCAAAAAGAATATTTTTTCATAAAATATAAGTTATAAAAAGGTACTTTCAATCAATAGGTTTAATGTTTATTCTAGAGAGAAGTGGTAATTTAAAACAATAAAATGACAACAAATCATATATATTTATCCCCTACTCTTCAAATAAAACACTATCATTACACAGGTATAGTATAAAAAAGAAGAAAAAGAAAAAAAAAAAGAAATAATTTTTATTTTATACAACCATGTTTTTAATTACAAAATCCAAAACATAAATCGAAAGTTAGTAGAATGACAAAGAATATAAGTTTCTCATTTTTTCTTAGTTTCTTTTTCAGCCATGCTCACAAGTATCGCGTTCGATATATTTAACGCGTACATTAAACTTGAAAGCGCCATTCGAGTTGAGAAATTTGCACGAATGAAGGGTACCGCGTTGACGAGACAAGAATGAGAGAAATATATACTCATATATACATACATATACAAAATACAGGCACATGTATACACATGCGTGCAGACACATAGGTACACGCACAGATCATGCATGCTATACGCATACACATACATATATATACATTTCTATACGCATACAAATGCGTACACATGAATGCGTGGATCACGCATATATACACACACACGTGCACACACGCACACAATAAATGCATACATGCATAAACATATATATCCTACATATACACATACATACATACGCATAAACATATATATTCATACATATACACGTACATACATATGCATGCATTCATATACGTGCACGCACACTACCACGTATACATATATGTGTACATATTAGAGTAGAAAGGGATACAGAGAAAGGATGAGAAGAGGTTGTGAGAAAGAGGGAGGCAGAAAAAGAATGCGACAGAAAAAGATAAAAATGGGGATGGGGCAGGGAGAGATGCAGAGATCGGACAGAGATCGGACAGAGATCGGACAGAGATCGAGTGAACAGAGAAACAGGGAAAAAGGGGGAGAGAAAAAGGGATAGAGAACGTGAAAGGGAGAGAAGGAAGAGTGAGTAGAGAACTCTGTGCACCGCAGCGCTACGGGGTGGTTGCCCTCGTCTGCGCTTTGTGGGAAATGCCCGCTCAATAACGCGTAGGTCCTCGTCTGCCCCTTCTCACCCTCGGAGGCATCACAGCAAGGGCCACTGCCCCAAAAGGAACGGCCACCCATCGAACAACCCTTATCCTATATCTCCCTCCTACCCATAAGACACTTCTTGAATCTCCCTCCTTTTCGTCCTGTGCTTCTTCCTCTTCTTTTGACCATCTTATACGTAGAAAAAGATCGAATCCTCGCCCTTGCATCTCGATCTCTCACCGTTACCCAGGATACAGGAGGAAGTGGTGAACATCACTGCACCGATTAATCTTGTGATCAAACTTATGATCTTTAAATATGAGGCTTGACTTCTGGAGATTAATCAAGCTGAAGATCATAAAGAATACTTAACTTTTCATATTATCAATAATATTACTATAATTATTAATACAGTACATAATATCTACTTTAATCAGAATGAAAGAGTTGTATTGTATATACATATGTACTAAATAGGAATTAAAAAAGAGAAATGGAATACCTCGGAAATTGGATGTAAATAAATAATCATTTGTCCTATTGTACCTTTTTGTACAACATATTTTTATAGTTAATATTAACAAAAGTTTCTTTATAGTGTTCTCTTCTGGAACAAGAGAAGATTAAAGTAATGAGATAAATTAAATTTGGAATGAAGAGAAAATAGAGATTGGACTACTTTTAAACTATGTAAGCTGATGGGGGTATCCATCGGGATGTAAAAAAATCCTCAGTTAAGTATACCAATGGAAGCAGCTCTCTATTTATTTTATTATGCATTTCTTTTTAATTAACTTTTATGTATTATATAAATAAAACATGTAAAGATGTTTAATTGAATTCTTGCATTTAAGCTTTTGGGGGAAAGTGATCGATATCTGCCCAGTATTCCGAGTTACCTCACCCTCATTCCAGGCATGGTGGAACCCCCAAAGATCGTTCGGGCAATGACCTCGAGATTATATATTCTGCCAGTATAGGGTGGTACAGGGTTATTCCCCCTGAATTTATCCGCCATGCTGTGTCTTTTTATCAAATACTATTGAATCCTTGGCGTAGCATGAAAAAGAATTTAAATATTCATTAAAAATGGAAGAAAATAAAACAAAGGCATTAAATAAGAAGTATATGTTCACACAGGTAAAAAAAGATTGGAAAATTGGAAGCTGCTTAGAATAAAGATTTTATGAATTCAGTTTTATATTACTCTTAAGAGTTTGAATTCTAACAAAAACTAACATTGGATTTGAACAATCCATCCCGATATTCCTTGCATCTTCCAACATCGAAGAATACAAAATAGCCGGTATCGTTAACTGATTTATTTCATCGAATTACTTGATGACCCTTCTCGTAAAGGATCAGCCTGCATAATAATTCAACGTTAAAGAGAGTAAATTGGCATCAGTTATAGTTTTCGTAGCGGATGGCATTTATAAGCCATGTTTGCTACATCTACCACCTACCGGATCAATAAGTACTCTTCTTGTTTCATAGAAACTGTTTCCTGCTGTATGATCTCTCAGTATTGTGATGATATATGGCATTTCGTTAAAGCGACGTATCATTCAGTATTGATACATTTTCGTTGATTTCAATGTGACATTCTGAAAACTGAAAATTACGTTATCTTTTCTCAAAATGACGCATCTGTTCTTAAATTATAGAGTAAATCGTGTGATGAATTCCTTGTAAGCATGTATTTCGGATAAGCATAACGGGAATAAAATTCAGGAAGGAACTAACCAGACAAATCGATTGTATGTTATTTCGTTGGAAATACCAAAGCTCAGGAGACTATGGTCTATCGCATATAATTTCTACTTCGCGAATTTAATTTAAATACAATCAGTGATTCAAAGTTCATTCATAACATTATAAAAATCGTTTTGTTTTTATAAAAAGATGATCTCTTCATTACCTTTAATTTTATTCTCAAATTGTTGGGAACGTTAACTTATACAGCAATTAAGGAATTATTATTTTCCATTCTTCTTGTGTCTCTTATTCGGAATGGTGTCGACTGTATATTTATAGAGGAATATCTGAAAGAAATTCATTCCTTTCATTAAAGGGATATTAATAGGAATAAACAGTTAGGGGATTCAACGATCGATACGTTCATTACATGCCACTTTATCAATGGGAGGATTCTGAGACGCGTTGGAAAAAAGTCCATGGAAAGCAAAAACCGTCTATACCCCGGTCGGAATAACTCTGATTCGAATTTTACAGCATGCGTGCAAATAGATGCGTAGATACCGACCGCTCGTATCTATTTATAACGGCGACGGATCGCGAGGCAATTGACCGCGTGGCCTTGACTTCCTGTTGACCCGAGTGCCCCTAGGGAATTTTGGCGTACATCGTGGAATTTCTTGCCACGATATTCGAGCATCTCGCCTAACTACCTTTTTCGATACGATTTCATACAATATCTACGAAAAAATATGCGCAATCTTACACACATAAATGTACATCATCCAACTCCATGGTTATCGCAATATGTATGTACTTGAATGTACTTTTTAAGTTATTTACGAAATGGTCAGAAATGATAATTTTAATGTACTTATTTATTTACAGCCACTGAATATAATATTGGTATACTAAACTTGCTATTAAAAACGTTGATCCCTCCCAGAAGACTATTCCATATGTAAAATTTGTTCAAGAATATTATC